TTTGTCCATGACGTAGAGAAGCCGTGGCGAAATAGCCAAGCCCTCTCCGCCCCCCAGGCGGTCTTTACTGTCGAGCGCCTCCCCCCCACCGGGACTTCGTCGATTCCAGTATTTTGTGTAACGATGGTTGAGTTTACTGTCAAAAGTAGGGCGGAGTAGGAGGAGAAAAAAAAGAGAGAGGGAGGGGGAAGAAGAGGAAGAGGAGAAGGAGGAGGAGGAGGAGGAGGAGGAGGAGGAGGAGGAGGAGGCTCGTTTCTTCTCAACTCGCTGCTCTTCACGACTCGGCCTCGAACATTTCAATTTCGGTCGCATCGAATACTGTGCCCTCATCCCCTATGGACCCAGGCCGCATTTCGCACGGTCAGCTCTGATGACTGAGTCACTTTCGGTCACTCAGTGCCGCAGTGGCCGGCAACCCGGCCCGGCACGGCCCGGCCCGGCCGCCGGCTCAGTGCCCGGCCCGGGTTGCACTGCAAGGCTGCCACGGGCGCTAACATGCCCGCCTCACCGAGTCTTGTTAGCTCCAAGGCAGCTGGCACCTTTTAAGTGCCTTCCATCCGCCTGGCAAGCGATGCGACTAGTGACCTCTTGACCCTCTGACCAGGGGGTAGGGTAGATGATTTCATCCATGAATACAGGGGTAGTTTGTAGCGGAAGAAGTGGGTGGGTACTACTGAGAAGGAGATTTTACCTGGTGGGGTGGAATTGGTGTTGGCATGTGCGATATAAGAGGGGAGATCAGTGAGACGGAAGAACAAGAGACAGACAGAGAAATATAGAGACACTTCACATCAATCCAAGCTAGAACCATTATGTCCCCACAGAATCTCATCTTGCAAAGATTCAGCCTTGTTGTTATCGTGCTTGGTTTGGTCTTGCTGATTGTATCAAGCTTATTGCTATCGCAAGTAAATCCATGGTCCACCGAATGCGGTGGAATTCGTTCCGTCAAACCCCAGCTTTCTTTGCATGAGTTCGCACTCCTCAAGAAGAAAACGAAGACAAGCGATTACTTCTCCGATTACTTTTCGGATTTTTTTGCAGACGATTGTCCTTGTGATGGATTGACCGCAGCAGTTCAACTTCTTGGCGGCTTTCCAGCATTGTTCGCCATGTTCCTAAGTTTGTATGAATTACATGTAGGCACAAGGGGTTTTCTCGCAAGCATCAACAAATACCCGCCCCATACTGGATGTCTAGCCGGTGCCCTTACCATCTCCTCCGTGCTTGTGGCTCTCGCTTCGAGCGCTTGCCTCGCTTATGTAGGAGCTGTTTCACACACCTTCTGTGGTGAGCTCTCGCTTGTTCGTTGTCCAGAGTTGTAACAAGTTAATGATTGTTTGTTTTCAGACTGGCGTGAAAAGATTTGGGTTACATTCGTGTTCTTGCTCGGCATTCCAGTGTTTCATGTCAAGCTGTACTATGCCGCGCTGCAGTGGACTCCGGAACATCAGGAGGACAAACATGAGACTCCTGGGGACTCTGCAGCAACTCCTACAGTCATGGCAGCCATCGTGAATGTAGAGCAGCCGGTCGACAAAGAAAAGAAACACAAAGTTGCAAAGAAGCCCCAGCCACCCAAGAAGCTTGTTCAAGCACAGAGACGCGACTCGACCGACAGCAGCAGTGACGACGAGGATGAGAACAAGGCATCAGGTGTCGACCGAGTCTGACCCTCCCTGCTTCATTTCAGATCTTATTTCTTTTAGCTCCATGGCTACAAATACTTCCAATCCCTGTATTCTTGAAAATGATATTTTGCCCACCAACATTGGTTTGCTGAATTAAAACAAATAAACCAGAGAGTCGTTACCATTCTTGGTTCACTGTCAGATCCGGTGTAATTCCAATCATGAATGTTTCTAGGTAGTCAGGTTGTTTGTCGGTAGACACGTTTCAACGAAGCATCCGGCCGATAATGCATCGTTGGCAGCAAAATTGAGAAGATTGCACCGCACTACTGAGAAGGCTAGTTACTCAAAGTTAAGTTAAATCATTATCAGTGTACGAGATGAGTAAAGATACAGGTACGGTAGCATAACGGTGGATCTAAAGTTTACTTAACACTCCTCAGTCACTACTAAAGTTGCTGTGGCGCTTTTGCTGGGGACGTGATTCCCGGACCTCTCTCAAGGACCGGTACCTTGCACCAGCCCGTGTGCCACATCGGGGGTGGGTAGATTCGACTTCCTAGCTCAACTCCTGCCCGTGCGCTCACAGGTTGAAGGCATCAGGCCCACCGCTCGCTAGTGCTGCTGGTTGTTCATCGTCAGCGACATGTGCCAGATCACCATCATTGTCTTGATCCCAATGTGTGCCGTTATCGTATTCCTCGGTCTCGGCCTCTTCATCTCGGGGATTGTCGCGGCTGTTATCAAACCCCCTGGTGACTGTAAGAAAGCTTCATCGACCTACAACTCCGGGTATACGGTTGGATACAACTCAGGATACAAGAATGGATATAGCCATGAGTTCAACTCTGGATTCAACTCTGGATTCAACTCTGGATACAACTCAGGATACAACTCAGGATACAACGCAGGGTTCTCGAGCACGGGATACAACGTTGGATATTACATGGGACAATATCAACCAGGATATCAACAAGGTTACTCCAATCAAGTCCAACTTGGATATTCCACCGGATGTTCGGGATACCTAGCCTATGAATATAACTTAGGATATCAGGGTGGCTACCCGTCAGGATACAATGCTGGATACAGCTCGGGCTCTTCAGGTTTCAATATGGGATACAACATTGGATACAACAATGGATACAACTCAGGCTATCAGACAGGACAGACTGCTGTGCAACAAAACATTGGATACAACTCTGGTTACTATTCAGGGGCATTCAATAGCTTACAAACTCTCTCAGAGAATAGCCAAGCGTACCAAAAGCAATACATTGTTGACTACAATGCAGGATACAACTCGGGATATCCCAGTGGAACCGTTAACCAAGCAGGGAGATATTTTAACCCGTATAGTTTTTGCGTTGAGGACTCGAGTCTGGCCATGGGCGCTATCCAAGCTTCGGCTTTGTTGGCATGCATTCCTGCATTCTTTGCTGTGCTTTCGGGAGGTTTGGGTATCTGCGCTGGCAGGTTCAGAAACAAAGTTGTAGGAGGCTTGCATCTTGCTTGCCTTATTTTGGCTCTTATCGGCTCAACGTTGGGGGCGATATTGCTTCCTTTCATTGCATTGTTCGGGGTTGCGGGATCCTGTGGTAAGTTTATTTGTTTTGTCCATGATCGATTCGATTACAATCATCCATTATACTCCTCCTGACTGCCTGTGACCCAACACGTACTTTGCAGGTACTTCTCTTCTGGATAATTCCTTCTGTAATACCTTCATATCAATTTCTATCACGATCATCTCTTTCAATGCAGTTGTTGCGCTCTACGGATTTTCACTTTCGATTATCACTTGCATTCTCTGCTGTCAACCTGAGGAGTGGATCCAAAGCGGCACAACACTGGTGATTCAGGGAGGTCAATCAGGCTTGCCTATTGCGCAGGTGACTACAGAGATGGTTCAGCCAGGAGCAGGCCGGTCTCAAGGAAACCGGCAAGGAGTAGACGCGGCAGCTGCTGGCGACCTAGCCTTCTCCTCTCAAGCGTGTGGAGTATCAGGACCACAGGCACCTCGTATTACGACTTGAGTGTAGTAGCGTTGAGGTATGCCGTCTGTGCTACAAAACTTAGCAAAGGAGAACTCCTTTCTATTGTTTTTCTGCGATGATCAGATCGTTTGTGAATTGTTCCAAGGAAAATTGAAAATTCCTGAAAAGTTTAATCTTTCACCGAGCCTGTGATAATGATTGAAATGTTAGAGTCACTTGGCAAGCCTCGCCGCTCAGGCTCTCAGCTCTTTCAATGCAGCTGAAGTTCGTATCGTCCACTGCCAACGAGGCTCCGATTCACACGCTCACTGATTTTCATACGGGCCCAAAGGTGATGTGAACGAGCCGGCAGGTAGTATGGCTGAACTAGTTTGTCTTGGCTGCCTTTCAGCTCTTGATATCTACTTTTTCTGAGGCAAGCTTGCTCCTGTGTGTTAAAAAGCGATCTCAACAGAAAGACTAGAGGCACCAAGACGTGGGTGAAGTTGACTGGTACGATAACATCAAGGAAACAGTTCGTAGGGATGTAGCAAATAGAAGTCACGATGAAGAGGTGATGTTTGAATTCATCTTGGCAATGTGCTTGTCAGTGACAACTTGGAAATCTTAGGACACCATCCATCGAATGTTTGATGGCATCACTTGCATGCTCTGCTGTCAACCTGAGGAGTGGATCCAAAGCGGCACAACACTGGTGATTCAGGGAGGTCAATCAGGCTTGCCTATTGCGCAGGTGACTACAGAGATGGTTCAGCCAGGAGCAGGCCGGCCTCAAGGCAACCGTGTCAGAGCCAAGGTAAGGCCTGACAGCACTCAAGGCTAGGCTTAGCCTCGATCGTCAACCAAGTCAGTCAGAGGTCTCTCGAACGACTAGAAGCTCATAACGGCTAGATGTGCTCTGGTGCCTTCCTCGAGCCTATGTATGGATCAGCCACTTGAGCTAGAAGGGTCTGTTCTCTCCTCAGGTTGTATGCCACGCTGATCTAGCATCGCTAGTAAACTCACTACACTACACCTTTCTGTGTGATCCAGCGGAGGTGCCTTGCCGTAAAGCTTCGGAGTGTAACAAAGCGGCAAGGAGGAGACGCGGCAGCTGCTGGCGACCTAGCCTCCTCCTTCCAAGCGTGTGGAGTATCCGACGAGCTTTTGTTATTGATTTGACTGAGGCCAGCTTGCCAAAGTTGTTGTTCCCGGATGAGTAAAACACGCTTTCGGCCCTATGGCAGTTGAAAATTTGGCCCTGGGCTACTCCTTGCCAGCAACGCATGGCGGCAGAGAGAGCAAGTGACGGCAACGAACGTCATGCGAGCCGACCCATGTCGTCATGCGATGTCATCGTAGCGCACGAGCATAGCACAGTGATCTCAACAGAAAGAACCATAGCGATTGTAGAGGCACCAAGACGTGAGTGAAGTTGATCGGAAATCAGCTGTCTTGCATGCTCCTCGTGCGTTCAGAGCAAACCCACTGAACCATTCCACCCTTCGATTGTTCGCCGAGGATTCCTCAAAGCTTCTCGACATGAACAACGAAGACTGGTACGATAACATCAAGGAAACAGTGCGTAGGGATGTAGCAAATAGAAGTCACGATGAAGAGGTGATGTTTGAATTCATCTTGGCAATGTGCTTGTCAGTGACAACTTGGAAATCTTAGGACACCATCCATCGAATGTTTGATGGCATCAAGACTTACTTGTCAAAGGAGTCTTCTCGCCACATGTGAGCTTATAGGAACCAGAGATGATCGAACATGACGTTAAAACAGCAACCAGAAGTACTTGATCGCCCTTCTGGAGGAGGTTGAGATTGCTTGCAGGTGTGAAGAGAGGGAAAGAGAGATGTTTGAGGTCTGACATGTCAATGTCCCAGCAAACTCTTTTCCTTCAAGTCATCGACGAGCTCTGTTCACGCGCAACCGACAGACGAGGTAGAGGCATTCATGCCTGTCATGGGATGGAGGGGGCGCTTAAGCTGACTTGTAGCGCCAGTCCATCGGATATCGTCAGGGGAGAGCGACTTTGAAACAGAAGTTCATTGAGTTCGATGACTTCGCCAGCCCCCTCCCTCTCAACTTTCAAAGCCCTGAGGTTCATGCTGAGAGATCGGAAAATTGTGAGGGATTGACGAGTATCGTAGGAAGCGTTTCGTCACCTGGACAGGTGTTTCAAGAATGATCAAAGCTTCTCTCACTGTATCTTGTGCTGCATGAGAGAAGACACAAGGAGGAGCGATCGAGATCAACCAAAAGCTTGTCCAAGATAGACTCAAAGTCGGACGAGGCTTGAACCAGAGACAACTACTTGTTAGGTGACATGCGAGCAGGATGGAGCTCAAGAAGAAGCGTCTCAGCCAAACAAACATAAGAGCGAACCTCCCTCATTCAGCTCCTGGACGACCAGCAACGTCGCTTGGATTCCTAGAAGGAGAGATCTCACAAGAGGTACTTCGTCGTCGTCATCATCATCATCTCCATCTCCATCTTTAGCTTTCGTTTTCATCTTATCGCCAGGAGCTGCCATCTTCAATCATCTCGAGTTTGAAACAAGTACCGCTGCTCGCTGTCGTCTGCTTTTGTTGATTCTTTTCAAGGACTTCGTTTCGAAACAATCGCAATCGTTCGTCCCAGCATCATCGACCATCGATTCTTGGCCGAAAATGTCCATCCAACATCATCAGGTCTTTCTCCTTTGCTCGACGAGCTTGTGGTGACGCTGGATCAGACCGCTCCTCTCTCCGAGTTCCAAGACCTTCCAAAGCGGCGGAGCTACACGAGCATGATCCAGAAGTCTCTGGTGGTGGACGACTCGAGCCCGGTCATCCCCGTGTACTCGAGGTGAGCAGAGGAGAAGCGACGAGCAGAGGTGAACCAGCCTCGCAGCATTCAGTCCAGCAAGGTCCCAGCAGACCTGGAAAAGATCCTCAACTACATCGACGTGGAGTTCTCCAAAAGGAAGTGTCAGGCTGACGTGTACGATGAGTCGAGGTATCGCATCTTCGATGAAGCCCTCACGCGAGTCATCCGAACCTTCAAGGTCCTGCGGCTGCTGTTTCCCCTGACCTCTCAAGTGCCTGACAGAGCTGGGCGCCGCTGCTGAAGATGATTCAGTTGGAGCTCCAGTCTTACGTCGCCTTCCTGACCTCGGAATGCGCGAGCCACCTCCAGGCTCGCGACCTCGCGCGGCTGTCAGAGGCAGAGCAGCGAGCGAGGATGGTGTCCCTGAGGCAGGTCTCTTCTGCCCTCTCAACCCCTTCCGTCACATCAGCTGATCGTGAACGCGAGCAGGAGATGATGCAGCAGCACTTGGAGAAGGAGGCGGAGCATGCGGAGGAGGTAGACCGACTGTCCTCGGAGATCGCAGCATTGCAGGAGACGGAGGTCAAGCTGCGAGAGAAGGTTGCGGAGCTGAGGAAGATGGATGAGGTGAGAGGACAGGGACGGTTTCGGCTGGTGACGTCGATGTGTAGGAGAACATTCAGAAGAACAAGGACATCAACCGGCAGCATCAGATGGTGCTGAAGATGTATGTCAAGATGCAGAAAGACTACCAGACTGTGATGACCACCACCGGTTCTCAAAACATCGAAGAGTTTCTGCAGTCCTACCACAATATGGTGAACATTAACAGCGTTTGGGAGTTGCAGAATCGCTTTCAGGTGTGTTCGACATGTTTTGTCTTTCATCTGACGCCATGAACAACAGGACGAGAAAAACGAGATCCTGTCGTCCAAGCAAGAGGTTGTGACGAAACTGAAGGAAGCAGAAGTTGTGGTTGAGAAACTCTCGGCATCCTTGAAAGATTCCACTGCACACGCCTTCGAGCTCATCACCTACAACGACTCGATCTTGTTCTTCCTCCCCGCACAATTCCCCGAGTGTGAATCGGTGAAGCATGCATCGCGCTGCTCGCCCTGACCTGCTGCTTGCAGTTCAAGTTCAAGAATGGCCGCCTGCACATCGAAGACGCGGGCAGCGGGAAGACCAAGGAGGCTACGCTCAAAGCTGCGCTGCTGTGCATCCGGAGCGCAGTGAACGGCATCAACGAGCGGTATGAACGCGCGCACTCGCTGTACCTCGAGACCCTCAAGCAGCTCATGCTGCTGACCCGGGAGACTCTCCCCGAGTGGACGGCCACCAAGATGCTGCCGGGGCGAGGGGGAACGGAGGATGTTCCAGCGATACTGCAGGCAGACGGGCAGGTCAAGAACCGCAACCTGGCGTACCAGGACGTCATGGCAGCAGCAGTCGCCACGGTAGAGGAGATCGCGAGCCAAGAGTTGGAGGGAGACAAGTGGGAGATACTGGAGCGAGTCGCTCTCTCCAAGGGGAACTCCAAGGCCCGACGGAGCGAGTGGGCCTACAGCTTCCTGGATGCTCTGCGCCGGTACAAGCAGCAGAACTTCTGGGTGAGAATGTGCCTGAGGCTCTTCGAAGGAGTGGTCTACCCGCAGGTGGTGAGGTCAATGAGAGATCTGTTCGAGCGCTTCAAGGAGGCTCTCAAGATGAAGGACGCGGCCGTGAACAAGAGGGAGAGCGGGCGAGTGCCGCGGAGGCTCTTTCAGTCTGTGATTGCTTCCTTCTTCGACCCCTCCTCCAAGATCTTCTGCGGGCAGGTCAAGAGCCCCGAACGTCTCAAGGAGCTGCTGCGGTGCATCGAGGCAGACTCGCGTCTCAGCTACTGGGGAGTCAGCGACAAGGAGATCCAGTACAGCAAGCTGCTGGGGCCTGGCAAGGAGGGGGAGAGCAGCAGCTTCTGCGAGCGGTTCCTGGAGCAGCTGTACGAGGAGAGACAGGAGTACATCAAGGACATCGTCTTCAGCGTTCAGAGGAGCAAGCCCTTTCACAGGGACTACCTCCTCTTCGACGAAGCCTTCTTCGCGTACAGGCGCGTCGACCCCGATGCCGGCAGAGAGCTGGTGCGCTCGAACCTCGAAGCAGTCATGTCTCCCAACGAGCGCATCAGCGTCGCTGAGTTCCAGGCTCGCATGTGGCCCATGCACCTCTACCGGCTGACGCCGCGAAGCGACGAGCGGGTGGAGCGAGCCTTGCGATGCAGGTCAAGAGATCTGGTGGTGGCGCTCCGTAAGATCAGATCGTTTCTCATCTGCCTTAGAGTCGTGCATAAGATCTCTAAGGGAAGGTGATTGTAGATACTTCAAGTACAACTCGTGACTGGCGAGTCTCATCGCTCTCCCGGGGGCCATCATGCACCATTACCATCCAACTTGACAATGATCATCACCATTACCACCATCACCATCACCATCACCATCACCATCACCATCATCACCATCACCATCACCATCACCATCACGGTTTCCCAAGTTTTGAACAACCGTAGGCTATCATGGCAACTCAATAGCCTCGGAGACTCATCACTAGGCCTCAGTGTATTGCCGCCAGAAAAAGAAAGAGACTGAGAAAATGAATTAGCTCTTTGAAATCGCTGCTATAATGAGCTTAACTGGTAAAAGCTGTGGAAGAGTCACGAATTGACGAAGAGGAGCAGAGCAATGCAGGGTGAGAAGAAGAGACGAGGACGAGACTAGAGCTGATAGTAGAGCTGATAGTAGAGCTGATAGTAGAGCTGATAGTAGAGCTGATAGAAGAGCTGATAGTAGAGCTGATAGTAGAGCTGATAGTAGAGCTGATAGTAGAGCTGATAGTAGAGCTGATAGTAGAGCTGATAGAAGAGCTGATAGAAGAGCTGATGGTAGAGCTGATAGAAGAGCTGATGGTAGAGCTGATAGTAGAGCTGATAGTAGAGCTGATAGTAGAGCTGATAGCAGAGCTGATGGTAGAGCTGATAGTAGAGCTGATAGAAGAGCTGATAGTAGAGCTGATAGAAGAGCTGATAGAAGAGCTGATGGTAGAGCTGATGGTAGAGCTGATAGTAGAGCTGATAGTAGAGCTGATAGTAGAGCTGATAGTAGAGCTGATAGTAGAGCTGATAGTAGAGCTGATAGTAGAGCTGATAGTAGAGCTGATAGTAGAGCTGATAGTAGAGCTGATAGTAGAGCTGATAGTAGAGCTGTGCGATGGTACAAGGTTGAAAGATATACGTATGCCATTGTTTGTTTGTTTGTTTGTTCAACATCGACATATGTCCTGTTTGTATTTTTGACATCTTAGTCTTCCAGGGAGGGGGGGAGAGGGCATCTTTCAAATGATCTGCAAGACCCCGTTGCAGCGGCACCTGCGGCCTGTGAACATGCAGCCATTCAAGGCGTTTGCTGCGGCAGCTGTGTCGGCGTTGGTCTGTCTGATTGTGCTAACTCAGGTACGACGTGTTGTCTTGTCACTTGGCAGTCTGACTTTACTCGTGTGTTGATCCAGGTATTCGCTCCTCATTCTCAGCACGTCGAGGTGTGCCTTTCACTCCCCAGTTCCTCGCTTTCTGACGACTTGTGATGTGCAGCTCAAGGGCCGAGACGTGAACAATCTTCTATCAGAAGGGCTGCGGGTGTTGAAGAAGTTGAAGCAGAGCAGTGGCGCAGGAGCAGAGTCAAAGTTCAACGTAGAGCTCCAAGGATTGTTGCACGACAAGATCAGTGCAGCCCCAGTGCCCATCAAAAGTGCAGGGCAGCCACCTCATAGCGATGAATATTTCAACTTCGACTACTATCCACCTCACTTCCAGCTCCACAAGAAGCAACAGGACTTGACAAGAAGACTGATGACGAGGAATCAGCTCCACAAGGTCAGCGCCCGGCCCGGTAGCTTCTGTCAGCTGACTTGCCCTCAGGCCTTGGGGATGCGAAGGATTGAAGGCCATGGAAGCCTCGATGGGATGTCAGACGAAAGAGTTCCGTTCTTCAGAGCGTAAGGCTGTTCTGGCCCTCCCCGTCACTGACATCCGTCATGCAGAGATCTGCCACAGGTCAGGCTCGCTCGCTCGCTGACTGGGCAGCCTCAGCACAAGAAGCTCAAGGGGGTGAAGCAACCTTCCAAACTGTCCAACCTCTGGCACCTGTACGTGAATCAGAGCACCGGGTTGCCAGTCTTTGTGAACTCTAAGACGGGTCAAGTCTCCAACGAGCTCCCGACGGAGATGCGGCATAGCATACTGATGGTAGACGACGCTGCTGAGTCGGACCATGGCAATGTGCATGGAAATCGTTTCGAGGTCAATGGTCCAGGTTCCACATTGCCAAGGGAAGACCCAAGGGGAGTGGTCGACCCAAAGACAGGTATCATTCAAGGATCACGTCTTGTAAGCGTGATCATGCTCTCCTGCTGACCTCGTGCCTCAGGAGTTGTCATCTCACGAAACGTGGTGGACATGCATAGAATGATGCCCCTCCCCTGGTATGACGAGTCGTCTACCATCCAGAATCAGAGGAATGCTCTTCGAATCCAGAATGGCCCCAACACAGCAACGGGAGGATCTCCCGCGAAGCTAGAGGGCCTCGGGATCAATGTCGACGACGATCCTTTGCAGGTTTACTCGGTCGAAGGCGACAGGCAAGACAATGCCAGGCTCAAGGAGCAGGGAGTGCGAGTATCCCACTTTCCTTTCAACATCTACAAGGCCGTTCCCAACGTCCTGTGGGACAAGACACAGGTGCTTCCCTTCAGTTGCCAATCCTCTCAAGTAGTAAACTTCCGCCTGCAGTTCGACGCCAAGACCGAAGAGCCCCGAGCCATCTGGGACCCGAAGCAAGTTCAGAACTCGGGCGCCAAGTTGGAGGTGATGGTTGTCGCCTCTGTAGGATGTTCATGTTGACGATGCGAGCAGAGGAGGGGAGTGAAAGTGAACTCTGTGCCGCAGCTTCCTCCTTGGTCGGAGGTGTGACTTGAATCTTCATTGCCTTGAAGGAGAGTGACCCTGTGGAGCAGGAGGTGAAGGGGGAGAGCCGCTCCTACGTCGACGGGATGTTCGACCGATCCATGGATGTCTCACAAGCTCATTCAGATTTCATCGAATCGTCACCAGGTAGCATGAAGGGGATGATGATGATGGAGATGAGGATGCATGTTGCTGATGACTATTGCAGATGGTCAACCGCTGCATCCTTTCCTCAACGGCGAGGTCTTCTAACCCATGTACCTGTGTATATTTCTCTACCTCTACCTTCCAGTGTGTCCTGCCGATCATGGTAGCAGGAGGCAACTTGTTCCATGTCATTCATTATCTCATGAGTAAGAGAGTCTTCTTACTGCTGTTAAGCTTTCGATTCCCAAGTTTCCCCTTGTCATTGCCCCCCTTCCATTTCCACCTTCCCAAGTAAGGACTAGATGTGAATCTTGACTCAGGTATCAGCACAAGGTGATGTAGGCTGAAGAATCCTGTGTGGTAATGATCTGAAGATCAAGTCAGGCACAAGTCAGGCAACTCGCAGACAAAGTTGCGAGAGGGAGGAACACGAGGGAGCACGGGGAGGAAGAGGAGGCAAGTGGAGACAAGAGGAGGTCAAACGAGGAGGAGAGCATCGGTCCTCAACCCATCCATCTCACATGGTCGATCACGGTCGTCCCACACTACGTTACACATCTTGCCGTCCTCATCGACCCTCGTTATGGTCCCGATGCAGTTGGAGTACCAGTCAGGATACAACTTCTTGCACCAGATTTGCCCATCTTCCGACAAGATAACGCGATCGCCCGGCTTCCCTCTCACGTCCTTCCCTACATAAATGTGCTGAAGAGCAGTCAGCAGGGGATCGGAAAGCACAGGAGCACGGGGTACAAGGGCGGGAGGGCAAGGACGAAGAGTTGAAGTGGTGACGATGGTGACGTTAGAAGTGGTGGAGGAGGATGAAAGCATTACCTTGCACTTGAAAGAATGTCGGGTCATCTAGATTTCAGAACAAAACAAGTAGTATGGCGCCCTTTCCTTCCATGAAACAAAAGAATAATGAAACAAGAACTTGCCGGCCTGTTGTTTAAGGTCAGAACAGGTTTATTGCATTTTTTATGCAGTCTTCGATAGGATAGGATAACCATCGCTGTCAAAATACTTGGCAAGAGGCAGAAAAGGCAAAGGCAGAATGTCCTCAGGCAGGGCAAGGGGGTCAACAAGGAAAGGAATCAAGAAGCATGTGGATTCAAAATGCTACAGATATGAAGATGAGGACATTACGAATAGAATCGATTGAGAGGATGAAGCATGGCATAGAATCATGGGACGAACGGGAGGAGGGAAAGAGAAGGCGTAAGGTTGAAATAAGATTCCTGTATGAAGTAGGAGGGAAAGCAGGATGCTGAAAGCAGGAAGTGAAGCAGGAAAATGTCGAGACCAACGGAAGAGGAGGGAGGAGGAGGAGGAGGAGGAGGAGGAGGAGGAGGAGGAGGAGGAGGGAGGTAGCGGCAGGACAGCAAGGAAAGAACTGGGACAAGCATTGAGCCATGCACGCGGTCCCCGAGAGAAATATCTGAGGGAGTAGTACTTGCTTCGACCATTGAGCTTTATTTATGATATTAATCACGTAAAATTTCAAAATTAATAATGATATTTAGTTCTTGTACAACAATATTCAAACTCAATCCTTGATTTTCGGAAAAGGAAATCCGAGGGCCGCCTCTCTCAGTAAAAAGTTTTACTTAGCGAGATGTAGAGGCGGATTGCACTCGGAGCTTCCGGCAGTCACTGGGCCTGACTCACGGCACCGGCCGATCGTCCGGGCCCGGGGCCCGGGCGGGCGGGCGCCGGGCGGGCGGGCCGCCAGTCACTGCAGAGTCACGGTCAGGCAGCCGTGACTCCGGGACCCTACCGGACGGTCAGGCCCGCAGGGGTCGGCAGGATTAGGTTTGGTGTCAAGCCTCCTCGATTCTCCTGAAGTTGTCCTCGTACTGATTTTTAACTTAACCCCCGGCCCGGGCCTCACTGATCAACTTGGCAAGACTATTCCGAGTCAGGCGTGCGGCGCGGACGGTGACCCGGCCGGGCGGCGTACGGAAAAGTTGCTGCTCGCCCCGGGCCGGCCTCAGACCCGGCGCCCCGGCCGTCAGCGATGGCGGGGTTGCAACAGAAGGACCCTGGTAAGGGGGGTGGGTTATCCCTTCCCGAAAACAAATTGCAAAATTACTTCCTAAATTTCAAATATTCATAACAGTGTTGGATAATAATTTCTATTTTGGAGGTTTAGGCGCTGCGGCCCACCGCCTCACAGATAAATTCAATTTGTATCTTTGTAGATTCAAAATTACTTCTTAACTTTGAAAATGTAAATATCAGTTTGGGCTTCTCACAAAATAGTACACGAAACTGTCCAAATGCAGGCAGGCGAACAGGCGGATCTTACCGCAAGGAGCAAACGAAGAGAAGAGAAGAGAAGAGAAGAGATGAGATGAGATGAGATGAGATGAGATGAGATGAGATGAGATGAGATGAGATGAGATGAGCTGAGATGAGATGAGATGAGCTGAGCTGAGATGAGCTGAGCTGAGATGAGATGAGATGAGATGAGATGAGATGAGATGAGATGAGATGAGATGAGATGAGATGAGATGAGATGAGATGAGATGAGATGAGATGAGATGAGATGAGATGAGATGAGATGAGATGAGCTGAGATGAGCTGAGATGAGATCAGTTGAGATGAGATCATGATAGAGTGTGACTGGGACGCCTTATGATGAGCAATATGTGAAAGATCTCTATGGAATTTATAGAATCTCAGTTAGGAATGGAAGTGATAAGCATGCTGTACAATCAAGGAGAGGTGTAGATGTAGCAAGAAATGTGTGGAAGGAGACTCAGTCTTTGAGTCTTATTAAAACCTAGGAGACTCAGTCTTTGAGTCTTATTAAAACCTAAGGAGTTGAACATAATGCATTTGATGGAAGGTAAACCGCAATGGTGAAGAAGCGAGACCACGAAGCGCAATCGGACGATGACATGCCGGTCAATATTGAGCTCATCCCCAGATGCAGTCGAAACTTATGCAGATTTCTACAGGCATGGATGGTAAATCACATGTGTGATGACGAAAAATCGTCAGAGGACCATCATGGCCATCACCATCACCACAAGAAGCACCATGGCAAGGGACATGGTGAACACAGATCCGACCACCATCATCAAAAGAAACACCATGGAACAGAACACAACTCTCACCACGAGGACGATCATCATCATCATCGCCATCGGAGCAAGACGGGCAGTCATGGTTCCTCCAACAGTGGCGAAGATGGAAGGAAGCATCATCTGGAACAAGAAGAGAAAAATGTTGTTCAAACACTTTGCTCTGCTCACGCCAGACTTGATTGACTCGTGTGTGTCGCTCAGGAGCAAGTGAAGGGAACTAGCTTGGAAACGGACCGAATCATTCCAACGTGCTCCCCTCCACCAGAGCTGTCACTAGGTACAAGTGCATTGAATCACCCGCATTATTTACCTGAGAAGCGAATGACGAAGGCAAGCACAACAAGAAAGACTCGACCATCGAGACGATGTCTACGAGCAGCAGCACAGGAGAGGAGATGGCGTTCATCGGCCCCGTAGTGCCCCCAAACTCCCCGAGGAAGCAGCAGGGAGCGACGGAGGCCCCAGGGAAGCCTCAGAGTGAATTCTTCAAGATCTTGGTCTCTCGCAGGAGTGGAGGGGAGGAGCATGCTGGGCAAGCCCTCTCCCCCACGCACAAGGCAATGCCCTGCCCCAAGAGGTCTGCCTCTTCCGGTCTAGCTTGTTCTCGCTTACCTCCTCCCAGCCCCTCCACGTCTCTCAGCGCAGCCCCCACACCTCGCCCTGGACCCGACGCTGCTGCTTTGAGTCATGATGGGTGAGTGCGAAGAGGACCAGCATGGTCGACTGACGGCGTCGGATCAGGCATGGACACAAGGTGGACGGGAGCATGCGCTCCCCTCCACAGACAGTGGGGAAGGAGAGGGAGAAGGGGATGCCGAGCTTGATGCTGTGAAGCATCAGCAGCGAGAAGTTTGACGTGCTTGTGTTGAGCGAGACTAGGGAAGGACTGTCATAACCTCGTTATTTTATCCAACATTGAGTCCTCCTGCTGTCATTGAGGGTAAGGCTGCTTCCCGACAGCCGGATAATTGTGAGGATATGCTACTGGCGAGTAAACAGAGGAGACTTGCTGCACTTGCCCCGGGTGGAAGGGGACTGGGCTCATCTGATTCATAGGCAGGAAGCCCATGTTTGGCATGCCCGGCATTCCGTGTGGGTAGGGCTGCTGGGGTCTACCTCCTTCCGAGACAGGTCGAACGTCAGCTGGGCTGTGAGGAGGAGGCGAGATGATGTTCTTGTCCGCAACGTCGCCGGGAGAGAGTGTGTTCTGCATTCATACTTAGAATGAGGAGGAGCAGAGGAGGAGGAAAGAGTTGCAAGGAGGGATGTAACGGCAAGAAGACAAGGAGGCGTGCGCCTGAGAGTACAGGAGGGATGTGTGCGATGTCGTGAGGGATAGATGGAGGGAGGATGGAAGCAACACAAGCGAGTGGCCATGGAGGGAGAGGGAGCTGACCATGTTCTTGAGGATGGAGCTCATGATGTCTGTGACTTGCTTCTGTCGGAAGCTGGTGGGGGTCAGAACGAGCGGAAGAACAACAAGAAGAGATTTACCGAATTCCCTCTGCAATGCCGCTTTCATGCCTGCAAGGAGAATCAGGACAGAACCTAAAGTGGAAGAGCATGGGCATGAAGAGAAGGAGGAGGATCAAAAAGATGGAGAGGAAAGACGAGGACAGGGGGGAGGGCGGGGGGGGGGGGAGGAGGAGGAGGAGAGGAGGAGGAGGAGGAGGAGGAGGAGGAGGAGGAGGAGGAGGAGGAGGCGGCGGGTTGAACTACATGGATTCCGAGATGATCATTCGTGTCCAGTGGTTGACGATGGCGTCGATCCTAGCGGCTGTGTTGCCATCCCTTGAAATGTTGTGAGAGGAGACGAGGCGGGGAGAGTGAGGTGAGGAAAGATAAGAAGTGAGGGGGGAAATGAAGAAGGGGGCGAGGGTAGTCAACCTGACTGCGATCGCGTTCGCGCGAAGTGCTGAGATCATCTCGTACAATCTCCTCCTCTCGTCCACAACAGCTGTAAACGACGTCACCCTTTGCCAGCCGTCCACGTCATTCACGTCATTCACCTTGTGTAGCTCGGATGAGGGTGACCTCTTGTACCTTCCCAGAGGTTCTCTTGAGGGTGAGCAGGACTGAGCTGCCCGGCTGAAGACCATCCTGTCACTTGCTTTTCCTCCTCCTCCCTGCAACTTCCCACCCCACCCTTTCCCTCCTTGACTCTCTCCCACCCGCTCCCCCACGCTTTCGTTGCTGTGTTCTCCCGTCCTCTTTCTCTCCTCCTCCCTCTCCTCTTCTGCCATACCAGGTCTGTGCTCGAGAGCTGGACAGACGCTGCTCCCTCCACAGGTTTCTTGTTGATCTGCGTGCTGGGTGTCAGCGTCGGCAAGAGTTCAGCTGCTGCCCAGGACCAGTTGGATCTCGTCGCCCTTATGGATGTGCTGAGACGCGAACGCTGGGCCTCCGAACACAAGACCTTCCACCACCGACCCGTTGAGCTGAAGGCCCAGCTACACCAGGAAGTCACTGCCGAGAAGGAGAGAGTGGGGAAGGAGAGAGAGAGATGGAGAGGAAGAGGGAGATCGAGAGCGAGGGCGAGAGCGAGAGCGAGAGAAACAGAATCGCACAGTAGTCTTAAGTTGGTTTTGACTGGTCGCCTCGGCCATGGCGAGAGGGTCTTGATGGAGTATTTGCATCGCTTGATTGCACAGCATCTGGAGACTCGGACGGTCAGAAGCGACAAGCTTGCGATCCTCCTCACCTTGCACTCGTTGCTGATGATGGTTGACACCCTGCTGCGCGAGTCCGAGGCCGAGTGATCGGCCTGCTCCCCCGTTCAGCGGCAAGTGGAGCAACGAGCAAGAGGTACTGGGGAGTCGACTCCTCGTGGCTGAGACTTGCTCTCGTCCGATTTCACGTCTGCAGGCTTGCAGGGGGTCAGGGACAGGATTCAAGTCAAGAGATGTGGGCTACCTGGACCAGCTTCTGCGTTTGCTCCAACTGTGCTTTCTGTTGGAAATCCGTTCAGTCACTCCGTGGGAGAGGAGAGGAGAGGAGAGGAGAGGAGAGGAGAGGAGGGGAGAGGAGAGGAAAAAACAGTGAGAACCTGCTTCAAATTCTCCTCCCTCAATCTGTTGATCTGCAGGCGGAAGGTCAGCAAGTCATCTGGTTGCCAGTCCCTCCTTCACCTCTTCTTGCCCCGCCCTCACCTCCGCCTCTCTCTCCTCCAGCTTTGCTTTCACCGCGTCCGATGACTAACCGTCAAAGGTCAGCTCAACACCCTCTCTTCCTCCTCTTCCCCTTCCCCCCCATTCCCCTCCTCCCTAGCTCCCTTGCTCCCTCCTCCCCCACTTTACATCCCTCCCTATCCACACCTCAGCTGCGTTCAGGCCTGATCGAGATTGTAGAGATGCGAGGAGCTCTGCCCCCAGCCTGTCATTCTCCACCCGGAGCCTCTTAATTTCTCCCTCCTGTTCATCGATATGCTTCTGCCTCTGCTCAAAGACAAACTTCTGCTGCTCAAGGCTGTTGTGTACTCTCTCCAGCTCCAGCTCCAAGTTCCCGTTCTTCTTCTCCATCCCCGCCACTTGCTCCTCGAGGCTCTCCAGCGACATCCTCAACTTGGCGTTCTGCTCCTCCAACATGCTGATGCTCTCACGAGAGGATTCCGACGACTCTGTGTGCCTCGAAATCTGCCGCCTCACCTCCTCCACCTCTTTCGTCCGCACGGCCAACTCCTTCTCTCTCGTGCCCAAGGTCTTCTCCAGCTTCACCACCTTGTCTTTCTCCGCTCTCAGCTCGTCCTTGAGCTCCTTCAGGCTCTTGTCTGCTGCCGCGATCTGCTGCTTGCAGTCGTTGAGCTCCTTGCAGATTTGATCAGCCTCTTCGGTCTGCTCCTTTGCCTCAGTGTTGAGACGCTTCACAAGAGAGTCCAGCTTCTGCACCTTAGCAGACAAGTCAGAGTTCTCTTTCTGCAGCTTGACGTTCTCTTGCGAGAGCTCGTCCTGTGAAATCTTCTTTTTCTCCGTCAGTCGCGCGATCTGTGTGTTGAGGATCTCGATCTCGTCCGCGAGCTTCTTCACCTCTTCCTTGTGTTCTTCCGAAAGCTTTGACATGTCTGATTGCAGCTTTGCCTGCGCCTTCTTGTCCTCTTGTAATGATCTCTGCAGATTTTCACACTCGGCCGTCCTCTCATCAACCGCCTTGTTGACTTGAGCGAGAGAAGTCTCCGCTTGCTTGAGTTGTTTCCTCAAGACTTCCTCGTTCTCCATCACAAGATTCATGTTCGTTCGCAGAGTTCCGTTCTCCTTTTCCAGTTCCTGCAGCTTCCTCGTGTCCTCTGACTTGGAGAACTCAGCCTGAGTTCCCAACTTGTTCAGCTTCGACTTCTGGACCCTCGCCTGCTCCTTCAGCTTGTCCTTTTCATCTTCTATCCTCCTCAGCTTCTTCTCCGTCTCCTTCACCTTCTGCTCGAGCTCCGTCGAGACTTTCAGCTGGTCCCGATGCCTTCCCGTCATTTCTTGCACCTGGGACTGAGACTGCGACAACTTGGCCTCGAGCTCCGTCATCTTCTTGGAGTGATCGGCGATCAGCTTCTCTTGTTCCTTGCTCTTGGAGTTCGACGCCTGCAGGTCACCCTGTGCCTCCTTCAGCTTGCCCTCCACATCTCTCAGTCTCTGCGTCAGCTCCGCGTTCAACGCTCGCTGCTCGTTGTACTCGTCCTGCACGTCCTGCAGGCGCTTCTGAGTCTGTCCGACGAGGCTCTCAAGGTCGGACTTGAGTCTCTTCACCTCGGAGAAGAGAATGTTCTGCTCGTCAAACTGCGTCTGAGTCTCTTTCAGCCTCCTCTGAGACTCGCCCAGCTTGTCCTCCATCTGGGCCTTGGACTTGGACAGCTCCGCAATCTCCCTGCCCTGAGCGTCAAGCTTGATCTGCATCGATTGGCTCTGTTTCTGCAGGTCGAGGAGCTCCTGGGACAGGGACATGTTCTTCTTCAGCATCTTGGCGTTGACATCAGCTTGCTTCTGACTCTGATCGATCTCCATGTCCTTCTGCATCAGACTGTTCTTGAGCCCGTCGATCTCTGCCTTAAGCCTCTTGTTCTCCTCCTGCAGACCCTCCAGCTTCGCGTAGATCTGCTCGTTCGCGTTCGTCAGCGACAGGACAGTCGAGTGAGTGTCTTCAAGCTCTCGCGAGAGCGAGAAGAAGCTTCTTTGGAGATCCTTATGCTCCAACAGGATGATCTCTTTCGATCGCCTCTGCTGCTCTCCGTCCTCGTTGAGCAATCTGTTGTGCTTCTGCAGCTCACGATGCGAGTCCACGAGCTGCTCGCTCAGGAGCACCGAGTTCTCGAAGGTGATGGATAATTTCTGCAGCTCGAAGGAAAGGAATCGCTTCTCTTCGGATAGGAGCATTTTCTCCTTTTTCTCCCTCCTTAATTGATTGTCGAAGTTTTCTAGGGCTTCTCTGCTCCTGTTCTGCAGCGTCTCCACTTCTTCTTTGCTCTTCGACAGCTTGGATTGGAGGTCATAAATCTCAGAATTCAACAGTTTCTCAGTGTTGTCAAATTTCCCATGCAGCAAGTTAATCTCTTGCTCCTTCAGCGTGACCTCTTCCTCCAAGAACTTGATCTTCTCCTCATAGCTGGAGCAGGACGTTCGCAGCTGTCTTGAGAGCTCGTTCCTTTCATCCTCCAGGCAAGAGACCATGCGCTCGTGAAGGGTCTTGTTTTTCTCCAGCTCCTTCTTCGAATTCAACAGCTCAGTCTGCAGCGATTTGATCTCAGTGTCTTTCTCAACGATCTTCTGCTTGAAGTTGTGGATCCTCGACTCGAGTGACTGGATCTCGTTCTTGGCATCGAGCATCTCTGCTTCAAGAGAGGCAATCTTTGAATCCCTCTCCTTCAACCTTGCGCTTGCGTTGTTCAGCTCTGTTGTTTCCTTCTTCAAGTGGTCATTCAGAGATTTCACGTGGTCTGTTTGCGAGGAGATCTTCCCTTCTTTCTCCTCCAGCTCCTGACTCAGCAGCCTTAGCCTTTCATCCCTAGCATTTAGTCCTTGATTCAGCTTTAGGAAGGAATTCTGTAGCTCTCTCTGCTTTCCCTCGATGAGCTCGATTTCGCCCAAGAAGAAATCGTTGATGGCAGCCAGCTCCTGATCGCACTGGTGTGCATCATTCTCCTTGCTTGATATCATGGCGCGCAGTTGCGGGATTCTGTCGTTGTCTGCTAGAAGGGAGACAATCCTGGACTCGTTGTCAAACTTCAACCCATCCAGCCGCTTTCCTAGAGTGTTCAACGCAAGCTCCACCGAGGCACACTTTGCCTCATAATCGGACACGCTGTCTTCGATGGAGTAAAACATATTCCTCAAAGACTTTGAGATCTCCGCAAACTTCGCGTTCTCCGCCTCGAACTGACAAGCTCGGAGGAATTCTCGATTGAATTTCTCCTGCTCCTTTTCCAACGAAACGGAAAGAGCTTCCTTTTCTTCGTTGCTTCGTCTCAACTTCACCGTCGCCTCCTTGGCTTCTGTTCTTGTCGTTTGCATCTCGTTCTCCAGTTTCAGCATGTCGTTCTTTAATCGATCGACCAGATCTCTTTCGATTTGCAACGATTCCTCCAGCAGGCGGACTTGCGGGTTCGCATCGTGGGATCCAGGATTGGAAGCAGACAGCCTTACTCTTCGAAGGCCCTCCTCGTGCTTTGCTGTCTCCTCTTGCAACTTCGCCTGGTGCCATTGCACAAGGTCATTCCAAGTCACAATCGAAATTGAGTTTCACCTCTAGAGCAGCAATCTCTGCCTTGAGCGAGGCCTCGCTCTCCTCCGAGGTCTTGACAAGCTTCTCGTATGCTGCGATCTGCTGGTCCAGCAGGCTCGAAATCTCTTGATTCTCCATCTGCTTGGTAGCGAGGTCCTCCTCGTACCTCGCGCAGACTGACTCTGCTCTGGAGTGCTGGTCCCTGACCTCAGAAATTTCTTCTCTCAACCTGGCAAGAGCCTGGGACGTCTGGCTCTCGGAGGCAATGAATTCTTGCAGGATGGACTGGGTATATTTCAACTCATTGTCTGATCGCTCCAGCTTCTCCTTCAACTCGTCCATCTGAGAGGAAAACAAAAAAAAGTTAGGAAAACAAAGGAAACCCCCCAGGAGATGCTCAGAAGGCAGGTTGACTAGTGGGCCCTCCATTGTCAATTCATCTCACCTCTTGCTGTTGGTCAAGATCTTTCTTGAACTCTTCCTGTTCGTGCGTAAGGATCAATCGTGCGTCACATCATCCAGCGCAAACTTACAACAAACGATTCCGACATCCTCGAGCTCTTCATGCTGACCTGCACCTGCGATAGGACCCTTGACAACTCGTTGAGCATCGAGATGCATCGATATTGTGTCTTGTGCAGGAAGTCATTCAACTTGTAATCGTCCTCATAGTCTTGTAATTGCATCTTTGACCATGATGCGACAAGGTTGTTCAGGGTTGAGTTGACCGCATTGTCCGAGAATCCATGTGTCAAGTCCTGCAAAAGTAAAACTTTCAGGCTTTCCAAGACATCGCAGCAAGGAAACGACTTTGAGCCTGTTGATCTGTTCTTGAACTGCTCTCTACCATTTAAATCAGTGGGAGTGAATGCATGCGGGCCTCATTACTTTCTCGGCAACTTTGATCGAGGACGCTCGTCGAAGAGAAGTTGTAAGCGTCATGCCCTGCACGCATGTGAGGCAGCTTGCAGAGATCGAACAACCATGAGCCTACAGTGATCTTCTTGATGGTGATATCCACGAGTCCTCCGGGAACATCTTCACCCACAAGGGCTCTTAGCACCGTGTCCGCGTTTACCTCTTTCCCATCCACTCGGACGATGGTGTCTCCTCTCTCGAAGGCGTTTGAATGATGCGCTGGACCGCCAATGACCATGTCGTCTATTGCTGTTCCCTTGAGCATGAGCCCGACTGTCATGGGAAAGCTTAGATTATTTTCTCCCTGATTAGATAACAAACCAGTCGACTTTGTTCCGTGTGGAGAACTCAATGAAGTTGATCTTTGGATGTTGTTCGTGAAATCTGGGAAGTGAGAGTCAGAGTTTTCACAGCCTTGGCAGAAACAGCACACCTTCGATTCCACGGATCTGATTTGAAATTTGGATGCACAGATCCTGGAAACAAAGTAGATTTCAGAACGAGTTCATCGAAGTTGTTCATCAAATCTCTCTAATGAGCAAACAAAGGCAAAAGGCCGGAAAGAATCATAGCATCTTACCTTGCATGCTTCGATGTCTACGTTTGAACTCATTTCTGTCCTTGACGTCCTTCAAAGTGTTTTTAAAACGATACCGCCATCCCCTCTCAATCTAATGATCTGGTTCCTGTCATACATCAGTGTTCCGGAAACTAGCAAGAAGGGATCGCAAAGGGAGCAGGAAGGTCTGACAAAAGAGGATGATCAAACGGGTAGATTGAATGAGTTGGAGGAATAAAGGAGGGAGTTTGGTCAAGGAGGCATAGCGAGTTATGAAGGGGTCTGACAAAAGAGGATGATCAAACGGGTAGATTGAATGAGTTGGAGGAATAAAGGAGGGAGTATGGTCAAGGAGGCATAGCGAGTTATGAAGGGGGCGAACAAGGGGTACAGCGAACTAAACTTGCAAGTGAGAATGGGAGCACAGAAGAGGCCTGTAGAAACCATGAAGATTTGGGAAGAGGACCTGAAGTTTCAACTGGAATTGACATGATACAGGGTGGGGCAGGCATTGTGACATGAGGATTGCGATGAAGCAGGGTCAGAGGAAAAGAAGCAAGGGGTTTAGCTTCCCCTTCCTGACACCCAATGTCCATATCTTTCACTCGAATTGCAGGGAGAGATCGTTCTAGAAGTCGAGGAGAGTCGGTAAGGAAGATGGATCAGAGGAGGAGCAGGACGAGGGAGGGGGTCGACGACATTGCAACGTCTCAAGGAAAATCAGCATGAAACCGCGGCGACACACAGTTGACCTGATCATCAGGGGTGGGGGTTCGAAAGTTGCGTGCATGGTGGGGTCCTTCAAGAACCGGTACTGTGACGCTCAAATTTGTAGTTCGAGGAGGGGTGATACAAAAAGTCCTATGAGGTACCACTTGTGTACAGACAAGGTGGGTGATGTAGATGGCAGTGATGAGGGGTCACTGTCACAATGGGGGTTCAAGGGTTGGTACTGGTGGGTGGTAGATTTTCGGGGGTCCTTCATTTTTGGTTTCTGGGGGAATAGACGGTGGGGTGAGAGGGAGCAGGAGGGGGTGCAAAGGGTACAACAGGGGGGTGATCTACCTCCATGAATTGAGACGGGGTGGGGTGGTTGGAAATAAACTTTGTGAGACTTGAGTAGGGGGGGTTGGGGGTCTCCGATTGTTAATATGCAGTGGGGGCAGAAAGAAGAGGCAGGTAGGATCCGGATAGGAAGGATATTCTGCCTCAAACAATTGGTTATATCTTTCTCCTGGGCGGGCTGTGGTACAGGCTATGCGTCGGAGCACCGTCACTGGATGTCGTCGGAGGGCCTAACTTAGTAACCGGGCTAATGGCCGGGCCGGGCCGCGGTCACCGGTCTGAGGGCCGGCCGGCCGGGCCCGGGCCGGTGCCGCAGGGCGCGGCGGACTCGCCCGGATACCACCGATCAGTCACTGCCGGGGCCGAGGCCGTGGCATTGGCCCTTGAACGGCCAGTGCGGGAGAGCCTCCCGGAGTACGGTCGCCGGGAGAGCCCGTTCCAGAGCTGGGTCCAGAGCCCGGGCGAGAGTCCCGCCAGGCTGGGTTGATAGGGGCTGCGGGCGTCACCCGGTTACAGCTTACAAAAATGATCGGAGTCGGGAGGTCCGGAGCATGCCCAACAACAACTCAGTAGGTAAGACTAGGGGTGGTTTGACCGGGAAAGAGTCTGCTTCAGGGGGTGGCCCGGCACCGTCCTCAGCCGGCGGCCTGTCAGGTCCAGCAAGGTGCTCTTGCATGTTTGCTTAGGCCCTGAGCCAGGATGATCTGCTACCAGGCTGCTGCTGCTGCTGCTTTTCCTCCTCCTCCTCCTCAGTCCTCCTTCACTTGATCCTCCTGCTTAGGCTGCTCCTGCTCCTGCCGCAGGCTCTTCCTCCTAGTCTGAAAGTTTGGCCGGAATGGCCTCTGATGGGGGTGACTCGCCGGTATCATAAGTTCACATCAGGCCTTGCTAGGACACATCACGGCCTAACATGATCACACCAAACAATGACCATATTGTCGTCGAGGTTTCCAGTGGCAGTCAATCATCGTTTTTGTCCTTGCCTGCTGTAGCAACAGACCGAGCGACCCCGGGAAACTTTTGCGTTCATGTCAACTGGGCTACGGAAGGAAAGGGATCCAGCTCGTTGAATCCTGTACAGCAAGAGGGCAGGGGAGTGAGGTGGAGCTTGCGGGCTACCTGCAAGTTAGCGGACAGCACGAGCCCCTGCTGGTATGGAAGACATGCATGGAGCTGCCCTGGTCGCGAGCCGATCTCCACACATGCACTCAGACGTTGAGGCAGACGAGTGGCGAAGAGGCGGCGAACATTGGAGCAGTCGACGATGCAGGGGAAGAGCTGGAGACATGCAGTCAACCAGACGTTGAGGTAGCTCGTCAGAGCTTCTGTGAGAGGTCTCCGTCGGCAATCTCCAACCATGGGTCGAGCATCATGCGCGTGGAGATGATTAGAGCTTACTGCTGCATCGAGGCTGACAAGGGCGGCTCCGTCAACGAGCAGCGAGGTAAGCTGTGAGCGAGTGATGGTGCGAGTGAACGCGGCGAGCAGAGGAGGAGCGTCAAGACCATGTCTGCTCTGTCTGCCTCGAGGAAGTTACAGGGAGCCAGGGGGTCGTCACAAGGTCAGGATGGAGGCTTGCTGGGAGAGGAGGCGCTGACAGAGGAGAGTCAGATGCAAGCACGTCTATCACTTGGAATGCGCACGCATGTGCGAGCAAGCCTCTGTCCGAGACAGAGGACGCTGGGACTGCCCGACCTGCAGGCGCTGTCTCACATGGCTCCGCTTCATCTCAGGCACCTCGTGGACGCCCGGGGAGTCGCCGGCTGACATGGTGCTGCAGGACCGAAGTCTGAAGAGGAGGTCGTGTACAGCTCGATGCTCATCAACCCTGCTGGTGCTGAGAGAAAGTTGAACTTGGTGTCCCCAGTCTCAGAGGTGATGGAAAAGTATGAATGATGAGAGTGAGGCGTTGATGCTTCGACCGCAGATAGTCTGTGGCCTGCAAGAAATCAACTTTGTCCACAAGGAGAAGGAGTTTTTAACAAGATTTTTTGAGAAATCTGATGACAAGGACGAATGTTTCCCATGCACCTCCATGTACACCTACATGTCTTGTTCCTGCGAGCAAGGTGAGGCTTTCTGAAACAATCTGCCAGTTTGTTGATCTCTTTCTGTTTGTTTGACAACACAGGCATCGAAGAAGCTTTGTACACATTTTCTGAACATCGAGGGACAATTAAGCTGTACACCCTGTTTGTTGCGCAATCGATTCTTATCCTGGTTGCAGTCCTGTGTGGGGGGCCATCATAGCACTTGCGATTGTTGTCATCCTGGTCGGAGTGATGATAGCGGTGCCATCTCTTGCGCAACTTGAACTCCCTCTACTCCCTCTGACATCTCATCAGGTTTGGTTCTTTTTCATTCGGTGACTTCCGTGGACTTTTTCTCCTTGTTGCAACCGTTCTGGAACGCATCTCAGGAAAGACGTCAGAGTTCTGTCTCCATGACATCCTACCGTCATGCATTATTGTTACTTTGCATCTCTGTCTCTGAAGGGATCTGAAGATATGGGTTGTTGTGAGTTGGACGGAAGGCATGCCCGATCCAGACAAACAGGCAAAGAGTTGCAAACTCTTCTACCACAGTGCATACCCACGTGTACCTGCACTGAGAGTCACGAACAAGGGGGGAAAGGTAGACAGAGGGAAGGCATCTCTTCTGCATCAGCGAGAATGCAAAGGGAGGAAGAGGATGAGACGGGGAAAGAAGCGGCGGAGGAGAAAAAAGTACCTGCATGCGAGGAGAGTACCCATCATCACAACGAAAATACGAGTGAGATAGATGTAGCCAAGAACAATCATGTAAAATCTCCGGAAGAGCTGGGAAAGGGTGACTTGGGGCCGGAGGGAGGGACCAGCTGACCTTGAGCTTCTTCACGTTGTCCTGCGTCTTTCCGTCCGCCTCCCCCACCTCGTTGAGTTGCCGGATGGACCAGACTGGGTCGCGTCAGCGCCTCCTCCATCCCCTCCATCCCCACCGATGGACATGAGGACGCCGAAGCAGCACATGATGTCCGCCAGCTGTAGCACGTCTCTCCATCTGCAAGCTGGGTGTCAGCTCCCTTCTACAAACTACGTCGACATAGCACGTCTCCCATCCGCTCTGCGAGGACGGCAGCTCCTCCACCATGACGACAGCGGTGTTGACGACAACCTGCCGCCTGTCAGGCCTCGTCGGATGCTCGTGGATCTGCCTGGAGCAGGAGGATGAGGAAAAGAATCTTCTTGTCCCGCGACGAGAGAAAGGGTTTCAGGTATGACCAGCCTGACCCCAGCAGCAGTATCACAGAGAAGAACAGAAGCCCCTGTAACTTGTCAGCCCTCGTCCCTCCTACACGTCAGAAACCTTCAGGAACATGAAGACATGAGTCGCCGTCGACCACCCTGAGCTCCTTCCCGTCACCTTGTGGGGAAACCGACTCATCGCCAGAGGGCCACGGCAGACGCTCACCTGGAAGCGCGTGTATCGCATGGCCTGCAACACTGTGAAGACGATCTGTTGAGAGTCACGATCGTAGCAGGCATCACAGTATCGCTGTCAAACCTTGACGAGGCATGTCATCGCCATAAAACACTGAATCGGCTGCACATTGTCTCTGAAAAGCAGGTAAGGCGGTCGGGCCAGCCCTTCCCACTCACCGGTAGACCCACAAGACTGCCCCCCAGACCAAGAGAGCCAAGAAGAAGAGACAGGAGGAGAGGAAGAAACAGATGCTGAGGTCGAATCAGCGCATAGTATCGACGATACACTCCTCACGGCAAAGGAGCATCTCCAGCAGACAACTGATTGTGATTCGGATTCTCGGCAGTCACCGACCTTTCAACTTGTGTCACAGCAAACTTCGTCCCAACCAACATGCGCCGACAGGTCAAAGGAAACTTGAGTGTTGGCTTGACAGTTTGCATACTCGACTGGCACATGACGTAAGTGACATGCTGGCAACTATCCGCCGCAACCCACCAGTGAACAGTCCATCGTAGTTGGTGAAAACTCGCGAGAAGTTGCTACAGCTTGTTCAGTCCCTGTTCCTCCAGGCGAGTCGTCTCTTACAGCTCTCTGCCTTTCACAAGAATGTTTGTTTGTTTCGCAGCTTGCATGCTCTTGCCGTCGCTCGTCCTGCAAAGAGCTTCAGCTGAATTGGTTGTTCGCAATTTGAGATCGTACAGGGGGCACAGAAAAGATGCTTCCTGCTCTGAGAGAGAGGCAAGTTCAGTGCACCGCCACTCAGTAGACGAGCAAAAGAGAGCATGGCTACTCTAGATCATTACCGACGCGGAACGAGGGGGGAGCCAACCGCACCATGAATCCGACCGTGGGATCTTCCCTACAAGACAGTCAATCGACCTCGCCGCAGTGACCTCCTTACATGTTGACAAGATGTCCTCGCTGATCCTTGATGAAGATGTTCGTCACCTGACGATGATCGCCATCAGCGTCCCCTACATCACATCCAAGCCCTCGACCACCTTCAGATTCACTCGTCCTCCTCGTTCGAAGCAGAAAGGGAGTATGAGAAACCTTCTCCTGTTACCGGGCTCAATCAGGGAGTCGAGGAGGAGGAGGAGGAGGAGGAATCAGCTTCTCTTTCACCTCTGCTCTCCTTCAGCTGCCATCTCAACTTCCGTTCCCCTTGCCAGGCTGATCGCCATCGTCGCTATCATCGCCCAAGACATTCGCCCGACCATTGTGCTAGCAGATATGATTCGGTGTTGCTAGCAAACTGTGTTGGGTGACTCTCATCAGTGTCTGGGATTACCACTCAGTGATCGGACTAGTGCCGCCGCCGGGGCCGGGAAGCAGGCCCGACCGGGAGGAGGGGTACCCTCATCCCCCTCCGCTCCCCTACAGGGAACCTCGGGACGCGCCCTACCCACCTTACACTTTGAATGGGTGGGTGGGGGTAGATTGAAACAAGTGCCTCATTCCTGGTAAGGGGGTACCCGTACCACAGGAAAACTAGGGTGGTTAAGGTAAAGTCATGGGGTACTGAGATGTTTGTTGGAGGTACTGAGATGTTTGTTTCTCTCTCATTGAAGGGTGTACCCACCCTACCCTATAATTTAAGAGCCTCTTTTGCTAAAAATGGGGGGTGGCAGAGACAGCGGTGGACTTTGTGTTGGTGAAGGGGGTTATGATGATTTTCAGGGAAACAGAGGGGTACTATCTGAAGGGGTAGGGCAGGGGTGGGGGTTATAAGGGAAGTCCCCCGAGGAAGGCACAGGAGGCCATGCACGCACTTCTTGTCGCTCTCCTCGGCCTCGCCACCGGCGCCAGCGCCTATGTCGGACCTGCCGGGTTCGTTCCCCGTGCTCGCTCGAGCCAGGTGAGGAGAAGACATGCCGTCTCGTGTTCTGTCTTGTACCCTTGTGCACACAATCCCTGTGCTTCCCTCTCCTAGTGGAGGGCTGGCGCGGTCAACCCATCTTGGAGGCGTTTCCCGTGAGAATGTTGTGTGACAAGTTGCATGTACCCTATGAAACCATCGATGATGTTTGTACGAGTTCATGCTTGCGCTCTTGTTGTAGACACTCTTGATTCGCATGTCGCACTTCAGTCTTGTAACATATTTTTGCACCTGAGCGACATGAATTCATAACAGAACAATTAGACGTGTTCCTGTGCTGATCATTCTTTCTTCAGGCGATCTCTAGAAGCCAGGGCCATGCCTTCGCTCTCAGGGCTCCCCTCTCCTCTGCTGCTCACTTCGGAACCCCCCTCGCTTCCCGCAGCACCTTCGCCAGCCCCGTCTCCCTCCGTGTCACCAACGACAAGGAGATGGATCTTGCTATCCAGCAGATCAGCATGTCCCTTGCCAGTGGACAGAAGCCTGTAAGATGCGCAGGTGCCTCGAGCATGCCCTTGCTGACGGCTCTCTAGGTTGTCATCGGCCTCGCTGCTGACTCTGGCTGCGGAAAGTCGACCTTCATGCGCCGTGTGACCGCTTGCTTCGGCGGAGCCAGCAAGCTCAACCCCATTGGCCGTGAGACCAACACCCTCATCTCCGACATGACCACCGTTATCTGCCTCGATGACTACCATCTTAACGACAGACAGGGCCGCAAGAAGACCGGTGGGTGGAGAAATGTGTTGGTTTCCACAGGATCTGACTCCCTGGACAGGCCTCACTGCCCTGGACCCGCGTGAGAACAATTTCGACCTCATGTACGAGCAGGTTAAGGCCTTGAAGGAGGGCAAGAAGATCATGAAGCCCATCTACAACCACGTCAACGGAACTCTCGATGAGCCCGAGGAGATCACCCCCACCCCCATTATCATCTTCGAGGTACGTGCCTTGCCGTTGCCCAGCAGGCCCCCTGACGACTTTCCAGGGTCTCCACCCCTTCTACGACAAGCGTGTCGAGGAGCTCATGGACTTCAAGATCTACGTTGACATCACCCCCGAGGTCAAGTTCAACTGGAAGGTTCAGCGCGACCACGAGGAGCGCGGCCACTCCATCGAGTCCATCAAGCAGCAGATCGAGGCCCGCAAGCCTGACTTCGATGCCTACATTGATCCCCAGAAGAACAAGGCCGACTGCGTCATCCAGGTTCTCCCCACCCAGCTTGCCGCCAACGACAAGACCCACCTCAACGTCAAGCTCATCCAGTGCAAGGATGTTGATCACTTCGCTCCCACCTACCTCTGGGATGAGGGCTCGGACATCGAGTGGGTTCCTCCCAGGAGCAAGCTCGCCTCCAGCGCTCCTGGAGTCGGCATGAAGATCTACCAGAAGAACGAGAAGTGGGCTGGCAAGGACGCCGCTGTCATCGGCATGGACGGCAAGTACGACAAGATCGACGAGATGATGTACGTCGAGAAGCAGTTCGCCTCCACCGGCTCCAAGTTTGTCGGAGAGGTCACCAAGAAGATGCTCGAGTACGAGGGCCAGCCCGGATCCAACGACGGAACTGGCTTCTTGCAGACCATCACTGCCTTGAAGGTTCGTGAGATCTACGAGGGCATCGCCAAGGTCAAGGTTCCTGCCCAGGCCAACTAAGCTTGCAGTGAAAAGCAAGATAGACTGTGATGATGAATGAAAGTGCGATTTGAATTTTCATGAGAATTTTGTTGTTTGCTCGATCGTATGACACAAGAACACCCTGCACTGACAGCCTACGTGTATTGAGTGAACTCTCCCAGCCCTGGCTCACCAACCTTGGGCATGGAAACTGCAGCCCTGAGTACCTTGTCCCAGAGGCTCTCCCCGATAGAGTGACTGTGATGGTCCACGAAGTCGTAGCCGATATACAGGATGGTTCCACATGAGCAGGGCCTTCCGCTCTCGCGCATGCTCGGGCACTCACTCGGGATCACGTCCTGTGCGCAGGAGTATCCGTTGGGCTTCACGATCTGGCACTGCTCGTCTGGGATGGTGCTCTCGCAGTAGGTAAGCTGGAACACAGGAGAAGAGACGGGAGTTCCGTAGATGAGCTTCGTGTCAGGAGGAAGAGATTCCTTAGTGATAGTGGTGACGGAGAGGCCGGATTGTGGGATAGTCTCAGGCAGGTTGGCAAAAGCCTCCCGCGCATTCTGCGGCATCGAGGCTTCTGGCATCTTCTCAAAGGGCCCCTGATCGTAGACGGTCTTCTTCAAGTCAAAGTGGAAGAAGCGATTGATGAAGACCAGGGACGAGTAGTCGCCTCCTGTCATGATCAGCATGTTGCCGTTCGCAACAAAGCTCCTGATCCTTCTGGCCAGGTTATCCTGCTCCGAAGTGATGGGCAAGTCTCGTTCCATGGGCGGGACCAGGAGAGTGTGACAGCACTTGATCGAGAGCGCTTGAAATTCGTTTCCGCTCCAGCTCCTAAGGAACTTTCCGTGCCCCGACATGTCATCAGTGTATCCGTTGCCAGTGAACGTCCCAAACCTGAATGTGGCTGGTCAAAGAGCCATGTTTGACCTGCTCTTGGCTACTTACTTGAGGACCTGACGGATTCTCTCGCCGCTGCTCGCATGGCCACGTCCGCCTACAGATTGTATCAGGCACACTGGCAGATTCTATTACGTCGACTTTCACCTGAATATCCACTTGCCAAAGTTCCATAATCAGTGGACTGTCCCCAGAAACTGCGGGCCGCGTCAAGAGCGTGCGACTCTCTATCGGTTCTACTTACAAGTAGAGGTCAGTCGGAGGCAGGTAAGGGTTGATAGGTTGCATCCAGTCAGCCGCCGAGTTCAACAAGAGCATTTGAGTTCTTGCTGGGTTCCTTGACTTCAAACTGGGTACCAACAAAGGGTCAATCAATCCTATTTGGGAGAAGCAGGTCAAAGGAGACATTACCTTTCAATCTTCACCCCGATGCTGTTGTCGTCGACGTAGTCGCCGTTGGAACCGCCGTAATCCATGTTTCCTCGAGAGAAGAGCCTCTGGGAAGGACAAGCAAATTAGCCAACTTTTGACCCCTTAGGTCCAACACAGATGATAAAATCATCAACACAGCGAGGCTATCCGAGCACTACCCTCAGATCGGTTCACAAGCTCATTCCGATCAGCACATACAGCAAACTTGTTCCCTCACCATGTTTGCCAGCGGATCATTCGAGTCGCTAATCCTACCATGACCTGGCAATTGTGATCCCTCTGCCTGCTTCGCAAGCCATGCCCTCGGATGGTATCCTGCACCAGAGCCCCATCATTGCCGCTCACACTTTCATCGAGCGCGTCTACTGAATTTTACCTCCAAGGTCCTCCAGCTCTGTCCTGCCTTGGTTCGACTCCAGCCTGTTGGATATAAAACATCACGATCTGCCCCAATGTGAGAGGAGCTGGAGCTTCACCTGGTCAGGAGGAATCCTCCAAGGGCTACCGACAGCAGGCCAAGAGCCTGACAGGGGGTTGTCACGAGGAGAGCAATAGGATTATTGTAGAAACGTTCATTCAATGTTTCCTTCGAACCGCACTCCTCTCTTTGTCTCTGTCTCTGTCTCTCCTTCCAAACCTACTCTAGTCCCTTTCATCTTGTCCTCGTGGTATATCTTGCGTCATCAAAGTACAACATGTGACTCAATTCAATCCTTCAGAGACATCATTTCTCGTTCATAATCCTGCTCCTGCTCCTGCCTCCTGCCTCCTGCCTCCTGCCTCCTACTCATGCACAGAGCTCACTTCTTCTTACTTACATAACCCCTCCTGTTTGTTCCTCCTCCATCCTTTTCCTCCGTCCTCCTCCTCGACTTACCGCTACTCGCCAACCAGCTGCCATGGTCTCCCAAGAGTCGCGCTGTTACACTACGGTTATAAAATATCACCGTTACATTTAAAACCGCCGCATGTTGCCCGACTTCACTTGTAACAAGTAAACTGAAAACAACATTTTATATATCATAAATGTGATAGTAACTTTAAAAAGTTTGTAATAAATGAAGCATTCCTATACTATTGGACTGTACCAGTAAATCGCTTTTAATTAAACATCTGACCCCTCCAGGGGGGTTCCATCTGACTTCCCAATGTCACTGAATTACTAGGGCCTAGTCATAGGCGATCATCATATATCCTAGCACCAATATACTACCCCTACCCCCAACATAAAAGTGAGTATACCCCACCCCTCAGTTACAGGTCTAAAATGTATCTCCGACACCCGTACTCTCAGCCTTCCTCCGACTGGTTTGATATCCGATCAATGCCAACCGCTGGCGCCCGGAAGATCGGCAACAGAAGAGGCTATGGCGGGAGCCTAGGGAGAGGAAGGAGGTGAAGGAGGAAGGGTAGACACCAGTGAGAGAGAAGAGACATGCTGGAAGGTGCTGGACAGAGACGGCGTGAAGCCTCCCCAAGTCAACCATAACAGGATCGACTCACCTCAATTGGCTCGGCTTCCACGACGTGGCTTAGAGACTGAGCCGTAGCTGAGGCAAGGCAGGGCTGTCCGACTGTGTTACTGACAACTGTTTGTTACAACAAGGGCAGTCACTAGCAACACCTCACATCATGATGCAAGCACAGCCAACAACCGATGATTATCAAGCGTTGGGGCACACACAGAACATGTTTGAAGTTCTCGACGAGCTAGACAAGATATGTGCTGGTATGCCTCGAATCTTGCGACAGAAGCAACCAAGGAAAGCGATCCCAAAGGCTTCAGATCAGCGATCACAGCGAGCAAGAGGGGGAACCCCCTTGTATCATCATCACAATCTCATACATGGCAATCCTCGAGGCAGGACTCCTCCAGACAGCAGGTTTCGGTCCCTCTCCTCCATGAGCATCGTCACTCCATCAGGTCTCTCACCGAGTCCTGCCAGTCAAGACGTCGAAGGCTCGAAAGATGACCTATGGCAGCACCAGCAAGAAGCAGAGGACCGCGTCAGGTACTTACAACATCCTGCTGCTGCTCTCATGAGTGACTTGACTGGGATCATCTAGTGGAGGGGAGAAAGGGCACGGATGGGTAACAAGAAGCTGGGATGAATCGCTAGGGAGAGAATCGTTGACAAACGCGCGAAACTTTCCGAGGCTCTCCAAGTTGTCTGGCAGCAACACTCAGAGTCTTCTCAAACTCTCTGCGTTCAAGGAAAGTCTGAAGATCACAGAAGGGATGATCAACGGCAAAGGTTTCTGCCGCACGCCGCTACAAGTCTTTGCTCTTGCTTTTTCTCCTTTCTCTCCTCGGACATCCTTTCAGCCTCCGTGATCTTTATGTCTCACATACTCACAATTTTCTTCATTACTGATTTCAACTCTATGACTCATCCTGGCCTTGGCAGAAGAATCTCTAACGTTGAGCAAGACCCAAACGATTCCTCGCTTTGTGAAGCTGGAGAAGTGGACGAAGAAAGTGTCTAAGAGTTTGTGAGTCTGTTGCTTCATTGTCCAGCTCAACTGACCCTGATATGCCATCACAGAGGTTTTCAATGTGACGTTCAGCAAATGGAGGAGAAGATGAAAAGCTTTGGGCGACTCATTGTAGACGAGCTTGCAAAAGCTCACGCACGAGTCAGGTCTGCAGTGGCAGTGTGTCTGCTTGCGATGCTGGATTATCCTTAGCTTGATGATCAGGATGCAAGCTTTAAAGGACCAGATGAAAGGTGCGAACAAATGAAACTGATCTTGTTGTCCACTCTTCTCATATGAATGTGGTTGCCTGGCACACCCCAACAACTGCCGAACTAGGCACTGTCTGAAATGATTTCCAGAGAGGAACAAGGAGAAAATCGCTTCCTTTCGCAGCTCATGGCCATCAAGCACGGCACAAGTCGACGATGTGATGGTGGCGGAAGAGGAAGACGAAGTCCAAAGGGTGCTCGGGGCACTGGAGAATGAACCTCCTGCTGACTTCGAGTCCTTGCCTGAGCAAGCGCTGAGGGAGGCAGACGTGCTGCTCCTCGACTCTGCTGGGAACCACGTGGAGGTAACCAGGGTCGCCGTTGATTTGCTCTTTGAGCTTGCGGGCATGCTGCAAAGTAAGATTGGACAGCCCATCCTCGACCTGGCAAAGATCCTCCGCAAGTCGATCTATTCCTCTTCTTTCACCATCAAGAATCACCCTGACGAGCTCTCTGCCCCGATCTCCTCGCCCATCGTGGATGACCCCTTCTCTTCCTCCCACAGCAAGCAGGACAGGGCGCTGTTTGAGGAGATAGCCTACTTTGATCTGATGAAGAGGAAGGAAATCTGGACCGCCAGCCTGCCGGGAGAGATAGAGAGGCTCTCCGACGAGCTTAACCAGCTCGTTACAGAGCTTAGGGCTCTGAAAGACAGGTGAAGTGATTTTGTCCACCTCCGCTGCCTCTTCCTCTTCTCCCTTGCTTTCTCTACCACCTCCCACACTCTCCTTCACGTCGTGCTCCATCTCAACTTACAACCTCTGCGCAGCTGCGCCGAGTTAGAGAAGAAGGTTCAGCATCCTTCGGACGAGGTCAAGAGAGTGTACAAAGAGAACGAGCAGCTGTTGAAGGACAACCAGCGATGGTTCGAGAAGTTCAAGGAAGCGACCAGCGCACACCTCGAAGCTGTCGCCATCATACAGCGAGTTTCACAGCAGCGCGACATTCTTGTCGCAGAGAACGATGTCCTCACGGCCAAGGTGAGAAGGCGAGGCAGGAGCAGGGTGAGATCAGATCGACGAGCGAGGAGAGTTGAGGAGGGATGGAGCAGGCGAGATGGGGGAGGAGCGGTGAGAACAGAGAGCAAAGCGCTGAAGAGAATAACGAGCGAGTGAAAGAGAAATAGAGAAGGAAGAAGGCAAGAGAGCAAGGCAAGCATGGAAAGAATCTTGTGAATGGGACTTCAGTCACTAGCCTCCTAGTAGCGCATCGCTCTTCTACCCTCTCACAATAACTCCTATAATCTCCCTAAGACCTCCCTAAGACCTCTAAGACCCTTTAAGACACGGTCACTTCCATTGCTTCACCAAGAGAATCTCCTCCTCCTCCTCCTCCTCCTCCTCCTCCTCCTCCTCCCCCATTCACTTTGTCCTTCAGATCTCCGAGCTCGACCCTCGCCACACTGCCATCGATTCTCGACTCAAGGCGGCCATGGCGACGGGGTCAGACATCGCGCTCTACCCCAACAAGCACTTGGACCAGCAGGCAGAGATATCAAGGCTGCCATCGGACCCGCCGGAGGACGAGGAAGATTGGATTGACTCGAGCGCAGTTCAGGTCTCCCTCCTCCTCCCGTCCTCTCGTCCCCCCTGCTCTCCGTCCCAAACTCTGTTTTCAAGTTTCCCCACTTCCGTGTCGTTGGCGCCGTAGAGCCTCGAGTCTCCCGCTCTCAAGCGGCTTCTCCTCCCTCCTGCCGTCAACTCACTGTCCGAGTGACTGCGTCCCGCAGGTCTCCCGTGTCAAACTTCCCATGCTCAAGCACAACCAGTCGATAGTCGGTCGGCTCAAGATGAACCTGACGAGTCTCGCGGAGGCTATCGGGGAGGAAGCCTATGATTGATCGGTGATCGGAGCAGCGTCACGAGTCGCCAAGTTTGACAGCCCACCGGGGGCCGCAGTGCGATCGGATCACGGCAGATTACTGAGTAAAGCCTGATTCGATGAGTGCCGAAAATTGCCGTCACTGACTAGGGCCGGTTCCGTGGCCTGCTGGGTGACCTGTGACTTTTACTCAAAGTTAAGTTAAAAAGCAGTATTTTGACTCGGTCGTGACTGCTGCGTGACTGCAAGAGTGCGGTCTACCATCTTTCTGGTCGACGTCGCATCTTCACGTGAGCAGGAAAGCGGAGGGGTCCTGGACGAGGAAGAGGCGGAGGGAGAGGAACAGGAGAAGGAAGAAGCACAGCTAGTAGAAGAGCAGGAGGGGATAACACAAGACCCATCGTACATAGGTAAGGAGGAGCTAGTCGCGTGCGAAGGAGGAGGCAACTTTTGTCGCGCCAGCCATAAACTATGATAATACCAGTGAGGTGCTTCACCTGCGGCAAGGTAGTTGATCCAACTGTGGGTTATGGTGCCTGACGTGTTTTAGGTCATTGGGAACAAGTGGTACAAGTACCTGGACTTGCTTCACTGTGGCTATCAGGAGGCCAAAGCTTTCGAAGAGCTTGAATTGAATAGATACTGTGAGTTTTGATAACAAGAGCGCAAGAGGCAGCCGGGGGGATGAGGCAGGGAGGAAGAGGGGAGAGGCAAGAGGGATCGACGAAGAGGGGAGGGGAGGGAGGCAGGGGGAGGCAGGAGGAGCCATGGGAGATGATGGCAAGGTGACTGGGAAATTTTCAGGTTGCAGGAGAATGTTGATGACGCATGTAGACTTGATTGAAAAGCTCATGGAATACAATCGTGAGATTTATTTTGACCTCATCCTTATGGATTGACTCTGCTCTTATCACAGCTCTCGAGAATACAGACACAGGAGAAGACTGATATATGTATGACATAAATCAACGTTGGTCCTCCCTTATGGTCTATCGTGTGTTTTGCAAAGTCATCGTGTGTTTTGCAAAGTCAGCTCAGACGTGCTGGTCACGTTCTCCATCTGCCTCCCGCGCTCTATGTGCTTGACCTGTTGCTCCAGTTAGGTTCTTTGAGCCTTCCCTTGCTGCTTCTCCTCTCGCTCTTCCCTCCAGGTTGTTTTGATCGAATCTCCCCTTGTCTGTTTCTTCATATTCCCTCGCCCTCGTTTCCCTCTCGTTCATGTCCTCCCACTTGTCCTGCAGGGAAATGCGATGAGAATGTGAGGAGGAGGAGATGTAGGAAGGACGAGTTGCGGAAGGAGGCAGAGGCTTGCGCGAGTCTAGTTGCTGATGGGTAAACCTGAGCCTCCGAGGCTGAGCCTGGTCACATGGCTTGTACCTGACAGGAGTCCAATGGTTCATACAGTTCAAGCGCAGGGTTGCCAACAGCGGCGGCTCAGTCCGGAGTTCGATCACACAAGGCCGCTGATCGGACCGTGAGGCACCATCACCTACAAACCGTTCCGTCAGATCATCATCTGCGCGGGTCAGTGACGCCGAACGGCGGCAGCAAACTCTCAGCACCGTGAGACTAAGCGGCTTATCAAGTTGACCCAGTCTGCAGTCCGCAACTGTCGGAGATCCAGGATGGAGCCTGAACTTGTGCAATGGAACCCGCCGACTAGCCCACCAGGCGAGGATGAGCCTAGTAACGCCGGGCCTTTCAAGTACTCAAAGTTAAGTTAAATCATTGAATCAGAACGATGAGCTAGCTATCATGATGACCGTACGGTGCCAGTACGGTCACGGAGTGACTGAGTGACGGCCGCTCAGCCGGGCCGCTGGGCCTCAGTGTACTTAAGTTAAACGCCGGGTCACGGGAGGCTTCAAGTTAGTACCGTCCGTTAACTGTAAGTTAACTTGCCAAGTTGTTAAATTACGACCGGGGTGACCGGCCCGCCGGGGACAATCCGATGAGGCCGATGAGATACAAGGCTCAGGGAACCGCGGCACTGCGCCGCAAACCTTGACTCGGTGACGGTGGCACTGCCGGGTGCGAAGGAGGCTACCCGGCGCGGCCGCGGCCCGACTCGGGGCCGCGGGCCCGGCGCGACGATCGGAAGGTGCCCGGCGCACCGACTCAGCGAGCCTCGGAGTCACGAGTCCGATCGCCCAGGCTGCCGAGTCGAGTCCGGCATGATCCGGTCAGCCTCGCCGGGCCGGGATCCGAGCCTGGGCCCGGGCTCGGCCCCGGCTGAGTGCACCGTGCCACGGTGAACGGGCCGCGCGGCCCGTCGCCGCCACTGATACCGGCCCGTGCAGTGCCGCCGCACGGTGACCCGTCGCATCAGTCTATACGAGTCACAGACTCAGAGTCATGGGCCGGCCGGTACCGAGCCGGGCTACCGTTTCCGAGTTCCGAAAGTTTACTCAAAGTGAAAGTTAAGTTAAATCAGGACGGCGAGGACAATCAGTACCTACTTTCTTTACTCAAAGTTAAGTTAAATATCAGTACGAAGGTACTACGGTGCGATGCTACCAGATACGCAGGTACGTGCGATACGGAGGTACGCCAGGATGATGAGATTGCCGTTGCGCGGGAGTCGAACTGCTGACAAGCGACTCTCGGGCAGGTATTCGAAAAGAAGTGCTTTAAAGTGGCTTGCAGTCAATGCTGACCAGTATCTTTACCACTGGCAAGAGGGTTTTAAAAGGGAGCAACAGATTCAGCACAACACCAAATCTCAATGCTGGTCCGCAACGAGCGATCCCTTTCAACCTCCTCCCTCCTCCCTCTCTCCCTCTCTCCCTCTGCCTCCCCTAACATCGCAGCAAACAGAAGACCTTCGCCATGCTCTGTTCCATCTGCCCGTAGGACTTCACAATCGCCTTTGCCCCGATCATTATCCCTGAATGCCTTATCTGTGTCTGAGCAATATTCATGGGACGAGCATATCGGAGCCCTAGGCATCGATGAGGATAGATTTGCACAGCTTTCAGACTGGAAACGAAGAGCGCTCGGCTGCATCGCTAGATCTATCAAGTACATCACGGATGAGCAAACGCTGGAAGGCGGTAGCGTGGACGGCAAATTTCTTCGATGCTCTGTTGAGGGGGTAGAGGGAGAGGAGAGTACATGGGTCGAGAAATTATGAGTGTACCCTGGGTATCAAGTACATTTGTGAGCTAGCCGGTGTCAGCTTAGTATGACAATCAGGAGTGTGGACTGTTAGAGGTGTTGAGGGATAAAAAGATTCAGAATAAAGTTATATTGATATCAAGGAGTGTCCTCATCGATGTGTAAAACAGAGGTCCCTTCTTCCTGTTCACGTCTTTGTATGAATTTCAATGCGACCTTCTTGTGGTGGAATACGATCTTGGATGCGACCTCCAAATGACTTTGACTTCATGGTTATTTACCTCTCTTCCGGATATCAACGATTGTTTGAATCATTGTCTTTTCAAGTTGTAAACAACTCACTGCCTCTTAGTGTAGTCCAACCTCGGCACGTCATAACAGGCCATCATTAGCTGGATCACAAGGAAACAAGAATCGGCAAAGCCTCTGATGCAAATTGCCAGGCATGGAGGTCTGTATGTAAGTTAGTGTATGTTGTATGCAACTACTACACGTAGTGCGATTCTTTGATCCGGCGTTATACATGTGCACAAGTGATTGTTTGCGACTACTACGAGTTTCTCAAAGCTGCACAGATATCATGTTTTCTTGGAAACTGATACACAACAGACGTGATCTGACATGTGTAAATATTGAATTGTGAAGTGAGGGGGTCTGATGAGTAACAGCAGAATATGGCAACTTTCAAATAGAATAGCGTAATCCCGTTTGAGGTTTTCAATTATAGTTATTTGCCAGCATTGCTTGAACACCATTGTGATGATTTCATTCATTGAAAGTCTAATTTACATCGTACACAGTACTGAGCACCATCCATAAGCTATCTGCTCATCACACAGTCCAACCCCTCGCACATTCAATCGTTGACCCGTCCAAGTTTCCTCCCCTTCGCTCTCGCTCTTCGCAGATGTACCGCATGGAGTTTGCCAGGCAAACCAGCGCTCGTTGCTTCCAAGCAGGCAATCTCTGAAAGAGGTCTTTATCTGTGTCCAAGATGGAGGCGCTATCGTTGGGGGAGCCGGGAGAGGATCTGTCCGAGCCTGAGTAAGGAGTTGGGGATGGGGTGCGCATTGATTCTTTAAGATGATTAGGGGGAGCAAGAGTGAGGGCGAGGAGGAGCAAGAGTGAGGGCGAGGAGGAGCAAGAGTGAGGGCGAGGAGGAGCAAGAGTCAGGGCGAGGAGGAGCAAGAGTGAGGGCGAGGAGGAGCAAAGAGTCAAAAGGATTTCTAGGTGATAACAGTGGGCGGGTGGAGCTGTAGAGACAGGCAGAGGGAGAACAAGAAGGGCATATGTAACCATCCATTCCTTTGACTTCTTTGCTAAAACTTCTTAGCTCGGGGTTCAAATTGAAAAGAACTCCTTTTGAATCTTGTGTTTTTACAACATATCCTCCTTAGCTCCGAGAGGTCGCTGGGTGCACGGGTCCTTTTGATAGCTCAAACAGGGTACTGTATTTGCACCCCCGTGCAATCAGATGCTGAGACTTCTTTACTACAGGATCTGTCAACCTAACGTAAAGCCGATGACGAACTGGATGACGCATATCTACTGTCTAGCTGGTTATTCGGCGCTGCCCGCAACGTATTTGGAAATCTACTAGGCTACCCCCCCCCCTTGATACCATTGAAATACCGTAGTACTACTTGAACCCGTGGAGTGGGAACATGGGATCAGTTCTCGCAGTGGCTGGTCAAACTTTTGCCTCTGTCACGGCGTAGGTTGCACCTAAAGCCGAGGGAGTTGCGAAGTCCATGCAGGTGCCGAGATGCTGGCTGACCCGCCTCGGAGTTTTTACGACGGTGGGTCATAAGCGGCAAGAAGTCAACGGCAGCAGACTCCGGGGCGAAAAGCAACGCTTCACAGAGTCAAGATCCGCAGGCTTCAGCGGTGGCACGGCGGGAACTTGCGGCCGGTTTTTGGCCGCAATCAAGTTTTACAGCGGCCAGCCTCGGAGAAAGGCCCCGCCGGGCCCGGACTTCCTATCATTCAGGCCGCCCGGCCGGCTGACGGATGGCACGCCCGGCCACTGGCAGTGGACTCTGAAGATCACTGAGGCTTTAATCTGCTACTTCCACAGGTTTAGTCTCTACCTTGCTGCCCTCGACCCTACTCCTCTCGTTTGCCTCCTCCTCCTTCGTTTCCCACCTCTCTGCAACAGCCTGTGACGCTGCGACTATCGGCTGGAGTTTGACGTCTCGATCCTGGAAGTCGGCAAGCAGCCCGTACTTGTAGTTGTCTTCACCCTGCGGCTTGCTGACTTCCTCCTTGGAGTACGGGATCCCAAGATCTTGCAAGGCGGGATCGTCGTTTGCCTCGGATGCTGCTACCACGCTGTCACCCAGCTCCAAGGGAACATTGGGATCCGGTTCCTTGGCCTCCACCACCTTCGTAGGAGGGATCGTGATCAACCTGTCCCTCTCTAAAGGATCCCCGACAGCCTCGGGCTTCCTCAGCATGTCGTTGAGCCAGCCACCAGCGTCGAACTCTGCCCCTGTGTGATCAGCAGGGTGCACCTTGACCGTGACCTGGGGGATCTCCTCGTTGACATCGTCCGCAAACCCCTCAAAGTTCCTCTCCCCCACCTGCTCCCTCGTCAGCGGCTCCACTCTTTCAACGGTCTGCTGACTCACGTAGCTCAAGTTCATCTCCACTGGCGGGCCTTGCTGAACCTCCACTGCGACAGCCATCCTGTTCAGCATCCTTCCACCATGGCACGACTCCCAAGCTCACCATCGTCGTCATGGACCTGACCGGACAGCGGTGTATCCTTGGTCGAGTTGACTCGCCTCGTCACATCCTGCAGCCAACCTTCTTTCAGATTTTCGTCAGCCACACGCACTGCCTTGCTGACCTTGAACTCTCCTCCAGGGTAGTAGTCCGGATCGCGCTGTTAGGGAGGAGTCAGAGGAGGAGAGAAAGTCGCAACGGGCGGTAGGAGCCGTGAGTGGAAGGAAAACTTTTTCACCTCAGACAAGGGAAGTGGGGCTGCTTTCTTGGTCTTGATGACCACATCCTACCAAGAACCTAGTTAGCTATCGATCTGCTTCCTGCCTCGCTCCTCGCCTTGTCATCATCGAACACGATCTCTGGCTGTCCTAGGAACTTATGAGGCCCACTCTGAGCCTCCTCTTTCACCTATCGAGACAAGTCAGGATGGTTCGAGATAGCCAAGTTTCATGGAGACCGGGCGAGCGTTTGGTACCCATGTGTCCGGCAAGTAATGATCCACAGTGCGTACAAGATGGTATGTCAAAGGTGTGCGAAACACCTGATAGCACGCCAACTGTCAACTCACAGAACATCGATCGTGGTTCAGTTCGACCTGACTGAAAACAGACTCCTTCGACCGATCCTCATTGTAGTCGTCAGCACTAACGGCAGAGAAAGTTTCGTTGGTCTGATTGACACTCAGATATTCAGGAGGAATGTCGTCCAGGATCTGTTGGGACTTGGGGAACTTAAGTCCCATCCGCTTGGTAGCTGCAAGGATCGAGTGATGAGATTTGATAGTAGATAGTGCAACGGCGTGCGGCGACTTCATATCTTGACTCAAACGTTTCCATAGATCTCTCTTTGCCATTGTAGGCGTTTTCTCCTTGAGCGCTCGGACCTGCTTCTGAGCTTGCGCGAGATGGGCGCCGATGGTGCCTTTCTCGGGCAACGCACTGCGCTTGCTGGCGAGCAAGGACGGCTGAGTATGTCAAAGTCAGCAAAATCTACTCGCGAGATAACAACAAGGAAGGATATACGAGTCCCTGCGCCACTGACCTGCTCTCTGGATCTGTGGCCTGAGGCTAGCAGTACTACCGCTGCCAGTAACGTCATACACCCGGTGAACATCAGGAGCTTCCCTCGAGTTCCGGCTCGGCCGTCCTTGTGCTGCAGGAAAAATGGCATCAGGCATGCATGGCATGTTGGGACGCGTCATGAGCATCGGAGCGGCCATGCAGCATCATCGTACAACGATTCTTTGACACTTGATCCGCGGGCAGGTCAGAAGAAAAACAAACAAGAGGAAGGAGCACAGGAGGGTCACGAGCAACACATGGAAGTCGCTTACCCTGACGTCATAGACTGTGAAGGTCGTCGTCCTGCCTCCCCCTCCCCCTCCCCCTCCCTCCGTTGACCCTCCGGGCTCGTCGCCCAAGGTCTCCACCATGAACCGCCGGAAATAGCGAACCCGTTACATCACGCAACGGCGGAATGTCAAACTGCAGCCTGTGCAAGGCCCGGACCCGCGCCGGAGTCAGTGGCCGGGCTGCTCAGCTGCCAGGGGCCCGGCGCACTGGCAGCCCGGTTCGACCGCGGACGAACACGGCCGGGGGTCGAGCTCGCCGGGACCGTGATGGGGCTCCAGACAGTGAGAATGAACGGCAAGGTACGGTCCTCGCAAAGTTTTCACCGATAGCAGGTGTCATGATGCTGGCAAGTTGAAGTTCATCAAAGTTTTACTAAACCACATCGCTTGCGGCGACAAGGCTCAGCACCTTTTAAGGTGCCTTGTAGTACTGGGTAGGAACGAAGGGCATCTTGACCACAGTTCCAGGGTTGGACTTGCCGCGCACTGTAACAACGACCTGCAAGGAAATTCAGTGAAGGCAAGATCCTTGGGAACATCTAGAAGAAGCATGAAGGAGCGAAGAAGGGATAGCCACCTCGGTCCCCGTCTTGTTGTGTGGTCTGTTGATGTATCCCTGCCTTGATGTCAGGATGGAGATTGCGCTGGAGGCGGCCAGTCTTCGTAACAAGCTTACCATGGCGATGTTCTGCTTCAAGATGGGCGAGACTGCACCTGAGGTGACCTAGAAAGAGGGAGTGAGTGGAAGCACACTCTGCCTAATCGTCCTCTACACCTTGCCAACAACTTCCCCCGATGGGAGGGAGATCTCTGCCCCCTCTCTTGCAGGAGCCCCAGTAGACATGATGCCGACGCGCATCTGCAACGAAGTTAAGAAAAGGTTTACGAGGCTACGAGGAGAGGACGGCAGCACCTTGGGTACAGACTTGGGACCCTCTGCCACCTGCGCAAATGTGTCACGACAGAGGTTTTCTGACGGTCAAAAGGAGGGGTCCTGCCTGCTTGAGGATAGTATCCGAGCCTGTGAAGGGACGGGCCCCAGGCTCACGACGCCCCTTCCCTACAGTCCACGACAATCCTGGCGCAGCAGCTGAGTGGAGGAGAGGGGCAAACGTGGCAACGAGTCTCACCTGCCATGGTTGGGGTAGTGGTGTCATCAATATCATGCCCGTACAGGCAGAGGCCAGCCTCCAGTCCTACAAGGGGTTAAGTGACCAGACCCAGGGTGGGTGAAGGAGAAGACTCACTCAGCGTGTCACGAGCTCCCAACCCTGTGAAGAAACGTCGTCAGACTCAAGCTGTCGGCTTACAAATTGTCACCAGCTGGATGCACTTCAGGCTGATCGATGAGTTTTCGCCACAGCTTCACAGCGTTTTCCCCTGGAACCTGCATGCGTATTGCCAGGTCAATGAAGAGGTGGTGACCATCGGGGAGACTAGCTCACGAAAATCTCGAAGCCGTCTTCTCCAGTGTATCCGCATCTGGCAACAAAGATTTGCATACCCTTGAAGGACAGTGTCAACTTTTTCCGGGTTGTGATGAAACAAGGGACAGGGAACTTACGTCCATCACCATGTTCTGAGCATCGCCGAAGTTCATGTACTTGAAGTCGTAAACAGGAATGAGCCTCTGCATGACCTATGACGATGATTTCCAATCAGCTCACAAAGACCGTGTAAACCTCCACTTCATCGTTCTTGTTGCCTCAGACTCTCTTCTTCTATCTTTGCATGGCTCCACCCATCACCACATCCTCTTACCTTGACAGCCTCTGGTCCTTGCAGGGCGTAAAGTCCTCTGTCCTCCCACTGGACCTCCATCGATACGTCTCCGCCGAACTTCCCTGTATCACAAGTCAAGACGACAGCAAGCATGAGTTTGTAGATGAACCGAGTTTCTGCTTGAAGAATTCCAGATCCTTCACGGCGCATCCAGCATTGATGACCTGGGCACAAGATCACCTGACTACTCGTCGAGGTCGACATAGTAATCCACCTGGTAGATGTGATCGCCCTTCTCGTCCGATGTCTTGGTGATCATGGTGTCATCGATGATTCCTCCCTGCAGGTCAGGGGAAAGTTACAAGATCCCTCAGATTCAAGGAGAGGAGAAGAGAGCGGAAGGAGGCAGACAGAAAGAAGGGCCGGGAAAGGAAAATCGAGTCCAGGAGGATAGAGATCACAAGAACGGAATAAAGGCAACGTGTAGTGGATACGTTTTCGTTTGGGATCACAGAGAGGGTTCCCTTGCCCATGGCAAGATTCTCAATGTCAGCAACCTGTATGAAGCATCAGCTCAGATCAATCTTCATAACCGAAGGTAACTGAAAGGATCAGGATCCTACCGTCACGCTCTCCAAAAAGGCGATCGCATCCTTTCCACGCCAGCGGAGACTGTTCGCTGCATATCAACGAAGGCAGGGAGCTCATCATGAGAGGTCACCTGCACATGTGCGAAACATCGAACAGTCCTGTCTTGGTACGAACCTAGGGTTTCTGTCAGGGTGTGATAGCAGCGTCATTGACGAGGATCTACATGTTTGACTGAGTTGATAATGCTGTCTGCCTTGGGATGGTCCTTGTACTGCACAGGCATGGCCCAGTCGGCGAAGTCAACCTAGAATTTCTTTCAGCGTGTTCGGTATGCCATCTGATAATGTAATAGACCATCTGCCCTCCCAGCTTGATGTGTTCATCATAAATCAGAGTCTTCTTGAGGTTAGAAGTAGAAGCAAATCGAATGCCCACGGTTCTTGCAGTCCTGAACGTGTTGGTAGCAAAGCCAAGCATCTTGAAAAACAGATCATGTCAGCACGACTTCCCTGAGCGCTCAAGACATTTGATGCCATCTGATAATGCATTCTCTTGCGACTCATTTCCTCTCTTCACTCTGACTCCTCGCTCACTGTACGAAGACCAATATTTTCGAACATAAGCCTGCCACTCGGTACTAGTTTCCCGTCCTGTCCCGTAGGATCTCGTCCTATCCTGAACATCTATTTGCTCCCGCCTTCTATCTCCTCGCTTCCTCACCATCGCCAACCATACGTAACGAGCTCACCTTGCTCCTGACAACCAGCATGGTTGCTGCGGATCAACTACCCCCACCCCGTTACATCCTCCAAGTACCCCACTTCGGAGTTTGCAAATTTTGACTACCCCATCAATCCTAACAACAGGACCCTACCTACTTCGATTCAATTCTGGCCGTATATACCCCTACCTCCTCGACTCTCAAATTCAATCTACATGTGTACCCGCTACTTTTGAAAGAATTCTAACCCACCCCTCTACTTCATGTCACTGATATTGGTACCCCACTGTTTAAATGATCGAAGAAGGCAACTACCCCACTTTTCTTCACCCCCACCCTCATCTTATTATGATCCACCCCTAAATCCTCTAATGAGACCTTTTCACCTATGTACCCACCCACCCTCCGACATGCGATTGTGGAAGTACCCTACCCCTCAAATTATACCAGGTGCACAAACAATTATACCGGGTTATGTACCCCCTTCTCTAGGTCACTTCATGTCATCACCACCAAACTCTCATCTTACTACCCACCTTCTCCCCAATTTGCAGGTTCGAATTTACACCCTACCCTACAATTACTTCATTTGTCTCACAACTACCCCCATTCTGACTGTGTTTGTCTTTCACTACCCCTATTTTCAATCACCCCACCCCCTTTCACATGTGCCAACTATCCCTTCACCTTGCGCTGTAAAACACCTGGCCAACCACCCCACCACTGCTTTGACGGTGTAAGAAACTTGAGTACCTACCCGGAAAAAGATAAAAGTACCGGTCTTCAGACCACCCTACCTTCTAAGGAACGTTTATGAGTCCAACATTACTGACGGTAGTACCAGAGACAAGGAAAATCAGTTTGTGTGACTCATAACCTGTCTACACCCGGGCGGGCCAACTGGCGACTTTCAGTAAAAGGCGACTCAGTGAAGTGGCGGCAGCGGCGGGCCGTCGGAGTCGGACCCGGGCACAGCGGCACACGCAGCTGAGCGAGTCCACCCGCGGCGTGCGACGGAGGCTGCCACTGAGTGGCACCGGTACTACTGGTAAAACCGTGACTTCAGAAGTTCCAAAGTTGAGCCTCAGTCACTAGGCGCCGAGGCGCCGGACAGTACCGTCGTCCGCCGGGGGTGGGCGGCGGACGGATCGGACCGCGGCCCCGGCCCTCTCTGGCTGACCGTACAGAGTCAGCCGGGGGCCGGCCGGCCCCGGGGGGAGTCACCGGGGGGCCCAGCCTAAGCCGGTTCCCGGGCCCGTCTGTCTCCCGATCCGAGCCACGGAACTCGCGTCTCCCCCGCTCAATTATTCCTTCCACACACAGTTACTACTCAGCGGCTCTCGCTCCCGCCGTTTGGGATCTTGCCTTGCTAACGGCATGATCCTGCCTGCGTTGCCCGGGGCGCTGGCACTTGAAGGTTCAGACTGCTTGCCGTGGTTTGAATCTCTACTGTGCCTTGCCAGCAGAGTAATTTAGTGTGCAATTCAGCCATCATCTTTGTTGCACTGGTTTCATTTCTCAATCTGAGAATGATTCCAGCCATCCCACATGCCCGTCTCTGCGTCGCATTGGATGTCAACCCGTTGGAGCTCCTGCTCAACCTGGGGATCCCAGCTGGCGATAGCTCTCTGTATATTTCGAATAACTTTTGCTCTACTTGTTTGGTCGCTTGCACAGATCATTTGAATCTCACTTCGAGAGAACTTTCCTGATGGCACAGGGGAGGAGGATTGCACTGAGTACAACCTCTCTGCTGCCGTTGTATTGGCAGCCTGTTGCAAAGCATTCTTTGCATTTCACTGATGTTGTATAGCAGTTGCTTCCATTCGAAGTGAAAACCATTTCAGTATTTTGTCATTCTCTGAGACCCAGTCAGTCAGTCAGTCAGTCAGTCAGTCAGTCAGTCAGTCAGTCAGTCAGTCAGTCAGTCAGTCAGTCAGTCAGTCAGTCTGTCTGTCTGTCTCCGAGGCTCTGAATCTGAGCCACACAGACACACTGGAAAAGACACAACTATACCACAGTTACAGAAGTTCTCACCTTGAAGCAAGAATGTATTCTTGCTAGACTGAGATCCTGGATCGTTCCATGGTATTGAAACATGTTCCCCCCAATAATCACGAGCCGGATCCTCACAGTGTCATGTACGAGCTTGTGGTGTTGAAGCTTGCATAACTTGCCTTGTGAAGTATTTCACCATCCTAGTTGCCAGCTAACTGATACACCGGGAACCCTGAAAGCCATCGGCGGTGTGAGGATGAGGATGGGATCGAGGAAAAAGATAGAGATTTAGAAATTCAGGTATACATCGCAGATTTTTTCAAGTACAAGCAAAGATGACCTCAGTGTTGGACTTGCTTGCCATCCCCGCCTCCTCCTCCACACCAGCTTCTCTGCTACCTTCCCTTCTCCGCATTTCCGAATCCCCCGGCCCACAAACTCTTTCCTGCGCCTTCCCCCTACGACCCCTCCACCGTACTGCTTCTATACCCCACCCCCTCGCTCCCCGCCCCCGCTCCTGCAGCTCCCCCCAGAGCTCCCCCTGGCAGCTCCTGCTAACACCCCCAGCCTCTTCTGCTCTTACTCCTCCTATCTCAGATGCATCCCATGCTGTCATGACCGATGAGCGTACCTGACGCTCCAGCGAGGGAGGAGGCGACATCTGCGCTAGAGTGCGAGCCGTCGCAAGCAGAGGAAGTCGAGGGGATGCAGGGGGAGCAGGAGGCAGAAGCTCTCCGGTCTGAGAGCTTCACAGACGACAGGAGGTGAGGGGAGGCAGCAGCTTGAGCTGGTAAAGTTGCGCCATGTTCTTTGACGATGCATGTCTGCCAGTTCCCTCCTCCTCAACCCGAAGAAGAGAAGAAACGTCCGACTGCCTCCTCAGCAAGATATCAGCCGCTCCTCCTGCTCTGGCTTCTTCAGATCTTCCCTCTCCTTCCTTCGGAATTCAGGCACGTTCGTTTCTGTGCATTGACCCGCCATGGTGTAACGAGTTCCGCAGTGTCTGACCAATGGTCCCTGACGCTCGTGCTGCTTCGCCACAAATGTCTGCGGTAAGTGTTTTGAAAGCAGAAGAACCAAAGGAAGGCACATAGGGAGCAGAGGGAGAGGAGGAGGAGGGGAGGGGGGGGGGGGGGAGGGAGGAGGGAGGGAGGG